CATGCATATGTGTTTTTAAACCTAAAGGTTTGTGTGAAAATCATTGCAGGAAATTTACTAAAATATGTGGAAAAACGTACTCTCCCAAGAACAAGTCATATTTCATAAAAGAAATCACCATATGCATTTTAGAATATGTGTGGTTCTCAACGATGTTATGTTCCTCCTCGAAACTGACTGTTTTATGTACACATGCATATTCAGTAATAGTAGCGTTATATAATTAGTTTCATTTCACGTCATGCAAGGACGAAAATTATTGCATCACTTTTGATGACTTCCGGAAACTCACTATACACCACCAGCCTCTTACGTCATCAGTTGATGGCTCGTGCTTCTAGACGTATATAATTGCACCGAGGCATATCAAATACGTTGTTGTTGGTAGTGTGTATAGAAAGTGCTCATATATACAATACAATATCTCAGTACTTTCGAACTGTTGTGGTGGTGGTATGGGGGGCGATTCTATCCTGCATGTGTTTCATAACACAGAAAAAAACGCTGGTGCAAGTGACTAAGCAATATACAGTTGTGTGACTGAATATAGAGATTTCTACAACAATCTTTTCACTTTCTATATAAGTTACTCCGGCACGTAGCCCGTCAAGGCATGCGTGTGATCATGTACCACCTCTGCATGATCTAACCATGCTTAACTCAGTCAATTGAGAGAGCCACAGGAAAGACTTAACTCTACTCACATGAGTTCTGTACAACATCAGATCACTTTACGGTAGCTCATATTCAAGAACATGTACTGATGTACCACCTCTGCATGATCTAACCATGCTTAACTCAGTCAACTGAGAGAGCACACGGAAAAGACTTAACTCTACTCACATGAGTTCTGTACAACATCAGATCACTTCAAGGTGGCTCACATTCAAGAACATGAACTACCTCTGCATGATCTAACCATGCTTAACTCAGTCAACTGAGAGAGAACACAGGAGAGACTTAACTCTACTCACATGAGTTCTGTACAACATCAGATCACTTCAAGGTAGCTCACATTCAAGAACATGTACCACCTCTGCATGATCTAACCATGCTTAACTCAGCAGTGAGTTCTGTACAACATCAGATCACTTTAAGAAAGAAACACAATCGAAAACATGTATGACTTGTACAATCTGTAGATGTTCTATAACCATTCTTAACTCAGTGGTAAAGTATGTAGAAAATCTAAACACTTTTGGGGAATAATTTGATATAAATTTTGATATATTAGAACCCATGCATTTTATAGTTTTATGCACCATACTATATATAGGCAGCACTATATGATAAATATATAATACGCAGTATAATCTAATCTGTTTTTTTATCTCGTCTTTATTCTCTTATAAAGTCACTACTAAGACTACTTCCACTTGACCTTGTTGATTGTTCGTCTCTTGACAAAATACAGGATGTTCATGATGAGTACTGAACTGCTGGAATGTCGCAGACGCATGTAAACACTTGCAATGCTTTTCAGTAATACGCTGTGTGAAAATTCAGTCATGTACATTTAACATGTCTCATTTACACCACGCACAAGTTCCCAAATAGCTAGTCAAATTTCATCCGTAACAATTTATCCGTTCATACCATGTTTAGTTTGTTCAATTTTAGGGGTTTATACATATTTATAATATAGTACGAATAAATTCGAGATTGATAAAATAGATGAAACACCTGTATACAAAATTCTTCCTTACCGAACCCACAATAATGCATACTGTAAATAGAGCTTTATTTTGACAAGTACTATTACACCGGTACAAATATTAGTACAGTGCACTAATCCCCCAAAGTGTTCGAGCAAAGTTTCATTTTATGTTGTGAAATACGATATATATCAAAATATTATTTTCTTCTATATATATTACAGCTTAGTTTCGTTGCAAAATAATTTCACCCCACATTTTCTTTGTGTCGAAAAATTTTCCCTGCATTTCGATGCACTTGTTTTGTGGTTTATAGAACATTTCTTCTGACTATTTAGCCATAAAAAAATAGGCTGGTGGGTTTTTTTGCGAGGGTGTTTTGAAAAGGATGGAATTTGCGTAGGTATCACAAATTGCATTTCAAATTCGATTAATGAAGTACCTGTTCAACATTTAAATACGTTATTTTTTTATTTTTGAGAAATAACGGTACCAAGTGGAATATAGTAAGAGGGGATATCCTTATTGGTTCACGCACCCTTTGGATCAATTATCGCCGGATATTTTCAGAGACCTTTTTCGACTCTAAACCTTTCGTGTGCCAAACTAGAGGTTAGCGAAGCCAAAGTGAGACGTTCGACGTCCGAAACGGGGCAAATAAACTCTTCATGGACTTTCCGCTGCTTCCAGTTTACAACAAAGATCGCTTTCTATATGTTAACACCTACACGACTGTTGCAGTTTTGCCCAACGAATCAGTTGTTTTCACCAAGTTCTTAATTCAATCGGTTTTTTAAACAAAATTTGCCAAATCAAAAGTTACTATTTGTAGTTTGTTTTCTTTGACATACACGTACAACATTTAGAGAAATTAGTATATTTCGTCTTCAAACCATTCGTATTTTATGTTAACTGCATGGGGGATTATAAATGATAAATCGATAAGAAAAACTTCAGACTAAAGAGACTTCAGCCTACCCATTAGTGCTACCACTTGCATGACGAGAATCTTTCTTCCGTTTCTCAGTGATACGTCCCCACTGCTTTTTATCCGTGTTTTTAATTCATGTTTCATCAACTGGTCTAGCTCTTTGTGTTCCTAAAAACTCGTCTCCAAATGTATAAAACGCAGACTCTCTGGATTTGACGAATATATACATGGGAATTAAGGATGCTTTTGAGGTACGAATTCGCCTTTCCTTCCAGATTGTGTCCGGTACTTGGGAATTGTGGACCCCCGCCGGCAAACACGCAGGGTACTTGATTGCTATATCAAGACACATAAACTTTTGTAGGTATTAAAAAGCAGTAAAGATTTTCAATATATATAACCTGAATGTATCAAATTTATCCATAATGGAAAACGATGCCATACACTAAGGTTTTGGTATTTAATTTGCCCAACAATTTCTGAATAAAACGGCGCGCATGGTATTTAACTTGTGCGCTATCTAAGTGTTATTCGCCATATGACTTTAGATAGATATGAACTAGAGTCTATAAAACATGCGAGATTTAGGCAATGTTCACATCAGAGAGCAGAAGCGATACGCAGAATCAATGAACGTTGCGATAGAACCATTGACAGCAGAAACTTTGATGAAATAAAAAACGGAAAGACACTCTTGAAAGACGCGAGATGAACATCCTGTAAACACAAAACGTTAGCCAACAATTTCACGGTGACATTTCGACCAGTATTAATTTATTATGTCAACATGGTCTATACAGACTATGTACTGCGTGCATGTACCAGCTTTATATCAGTATAATTGTTTCTGTTAGAATGATCATTTACTCGCTTGAATATATATTTAGTAGCACTTTAAATTGTTATTAGCTATGATGAACATCACGTAACCTCACATGCGTTTCCTCCCGATTTGTTAGTTATATAATTTTCTGTTTGGTGTTAAATGTACGTATTGCTGTACTTTTTTACATTATATTTCTTGAGTTTTCAAGGACGTGACATAATATATAAAAGCCGATTTTCAACAGTCTTGTTTGATGTCTTCTTGCTTATAGAAGTTAATATTGTATTAGTATCGGGCGATGTTTTTTTAAGCTTATCAGTATCCGATTCCATGAAATTTTATTTCTGCTTTAAGAATGTTTTATCACCGTCTTCGAGGGGGAAAGTGAAACGTTTTCCTTGTTCTGGCTGAACAAGACGTCTGCGCAAATTTTCTATACATTGTTCTGTCGCCTTCGGGACCGCTTCCATTAGTTTCGACTGTTGAAGATCAGTGAAGGTTTTTTATTCCTCTTCTCATGAAAAGAGCGACGTTTGACCTAGACCTTAGCACTGTACAATAACTCTATAATTACAATGTGGGTGGGAACAATATGTCGGAACTGTTTACTTTTCCAACGAGCTGTATTTATTCCGACATAGACACCCAGGAAACATATATATTATTATATAATGATATTGTAAAGCTCATACTGTGTGTCTTTGAATATCTAAATGCCACAATTCTATTTGTGAACGCATTTTACAACACAAACAATATCTTCATCTTAAGATATTGGCCACTGTCAGAGCCCGGAAACACTGTTTACCATATATTAAAATAGGAATGTCGAAATACGTCATTGTTGGTAGCGCACAGCGAAAAACCCTTTTATTTACAATACAACATAAATACAATACAATACAATACAATATTCCTTACTTTCATATAGTTGTGGGGTGGATGTGCGTCAATCCTGACACCTGCATGCAGTTAGTACATGTGTCTTTCATCTCTGTGACTCAGGTTTGATTCCTGTAATATGCATGCAGTTGTCTGATTATAATTTCACCTCAGTCACATGTGAGAAAAATGCCTCAGTTTGACTCTATCAAACACAGTGGTTAGTACATGTGTCTTTCATCTCTGTGACTGAGGTTTGATTCCTGTAATATGCAGTTGTCTGATTGTAATTTCACCTCAGTCACATGTGAGAAGAGTGCTTCTAGTTTGACTCTACCAAACACAGTGGTTAGTACATGTGTCTTTCATCTCTGTGACTGAGGTTTGATTCCTGTAATATGCAGTTGTCTGATTGTAATTTCACCTCAGTCACATGTGAGAAGAGTGCTTCAAGTTTGACTCTACCAAACATATTTATTCTTTCGACATGATGAAGGTTGAATAAATCATTCAAGAACGTTCAATACAGAATGAAATATATGAGATCACTTTAGGATATACGAAAGCTCATGCGATTCAGGAAGTGTACAACCTCTGCATGATCTAACCACGTTAAACTAAGCAGAAAGTTATCAGCACAACAGTTATAGAAGACCAAATAAATGTACGAGAGTATATAACTACACGTTCAAACATGTACTAAATCTACAAGATGTGATCATGATTTTACTGGTAATTCAGAAGTGCACGACATCGATTTTTTGTTGACAATTTCTTTGACCCTCGATATAATATAGTCCATCAGTATTAATCATATAAATATACAGTATATGCCCAGTATAGTATTAATCGCGCCATTGAAATTGTTTCACTAATCCAGCATTCACATAGCACTGCATGGATACGGCTTTCAATAATTGGCGGAAATGTATTTAGTTGCACCAGGAAAATTCAGTCATATTTTATTTGACCACTGCATAATACCGCAAACATTTCGAGGTACATTATTTCTTACACCTGTTATATTTTTCGTTACATCAACCTAGCCTCAATGACAAAGATTTTTTTGCCGAAGGGCAGGAAAATATTTTCCGCCCAAAATTCCTTTTGCATTCTCGGCATATTTTCGTCGTTGTCAAGAACATTTGTTCCGATCATGAAAGCATTAACAATAACAAACAATCTTCGCCAAGATAAGACATATACGACACTTAACAATTTCATTCCAATGACGTTTGAAATTCCTCGTGGTTCTAAATCTAAAATCTTTTATAGTTTAAAAACAGCGTGGGTTTTTATGCACACCCTGAACAGGGTGTATCAATAAAAATGCCGGCGCGGTTCTGGGATATGAAATGCAATTTTTAGCTAAATAGAGTTTGAATTTTCGGTTCCGTTTAATTTCCGTTTAATTTCAGTAGAATTCCTAGCAAGAATCTTAAAAGCCGCTTGGGCGTTTTTGCTCAACAAACCGATGTATTGTATATAGTTACGTTCGCTTTCATTCGAACCTACATGTCGCTTAAAACGTCTTTGACTTATTGCATTTCTCTAAATAACTGCTAGTCTCCTACTGCGAATTTTCAAACTTGCAGCATCACTGTATAATTTACAGTGATTGAGATTATCACTTGATATATCCAAATATTTAGTGATCATTTTGATTGATTTTAAAATCAGAAGAAGATTGTTAAGCTTCTTGCATGAACATTATATATGTATTTGAAGACTTCTTCAACCTGATTCTTGTGAAACATGGAATCTTTAGACTAAGACTGTAATTAATGGTGATTTATAATTCTATTGTAACAGACCAGAATTGTAACAATTTACACTCATATTTTATTGCAATCATACTAACGATTAAACCCTGAGTGGTTCATCTGATATATATAGCTCAGTACACAGTGTCGATTGTTTCCCATCCCGGCAAAACGGCTCCACGGAATATTCAACCCAAGCATACCGATGTTTCATCTCAATTTTTCAGCGTTCTTCTAATTCCATATCAAAACTAATCCTTCACCATCAGCTGTCGCCACGCAGCAGTCAGAATGGGTTATGGCCATCGCATTTACACCTTTTTTGTGTTGCGTTGTTCTGTCGAGAAAGTTCATTATTTCTTTACATATAAGAGCAAATGCTATATCATGCACTCTATTTGTCTATAACTCTCTGCCAATCAGAAAAAACTTAGGGTTTCCTCCTGTAGTAACAATGGATCAATAAGAGATGATCCTTACTGCGCCTCTAGGAAGAACAGTTTAGAACTGATAGAGTTATCCAGTATAAATAAAGTTAGTTTAGTTTAGGTTTCTTCCTGTAGTAACACTGGGTCAATAAGAGATTATCCTTACTGGACCTTTAGGAAGAACACTTTAGAGCTATCCAGTATAAATAAGGTTTGTTTTGATTTCATACCTTAACTCTGGTGTACATTTTCGTGTCATTTTTGTCCATAAAGTTATTTTGTTGTCTTTTGATAGGCCAATGGTGGACCGCCCGTCCGAAGTTATGGCTATGTTCTAAAAGAAAGAAATCTTTGTAAGTAGCTATAATTCTTGTTTATGAACGTGCGTGATGACCTGGGCACGAGCTTGACAACTACCTGTATCTCTCGTCCGTTATTCGCTTCCAATACGTTGTCTACCATATTGGACTCCGTGTTCCACACGCTCACGAAATTCCCTGGGCTCGACAAGCTGATCATGTGATCCCCAGAGGGCGAATAACGCAACTTTAGCACCGGACCAAAAGGATCGTCCAAGACTATCGCGCATGTGCCAGTCCCAGTTTCCCAGATTCGGATGGTCTTGTCCTGAGACGCGCTTGCCAAAAAGCTGCCGTTTGGCGAAAATTTAATATCGTTGACGATCGAGAGATGTCCGCTCAATTTTTTCATATCTGAACCATTAATAAACGCGCCTGATCCGGGCTGAAACTTAAACAAACCAATACTTTTGTCTTCTGAACACGATGCCAAGAACTGACCGCTCGATGAGATGGAACAGGACAAAACTGGACCAGAATGAATTGCTGGAGGGGAGAACAGGAATAATTTATTACCTGGCATTGTCTGTCTGTTGTACAAAACACTTTGAGTATAGTTAAATCGTAACTAACTTCAAAATACACGATTTTGACTGGCGAATCAGTCACAAACTACTTTAAATCTCGCCATCTTTTGTAGTTACAACCGTCGTTTAATAAGTAGAGTATCTCTGGTTTGTTATATCAGTTCAAAACTTTGCGTATAGTATTTACTGAAGTTCATGTCTTCAAAATCATTTCAATTTTTGTTTTCATTTGTGGCAAATCTCGCGGTCAAACAAAGGTAAAATGTCGGTAAAGTTGTCTCAAGCATAATTAAAGTATATATCAGCAATGTGTTACTAACGAAATACTCGAAACTAATAATAGTAATCAGCTCAAATTATATGCTTCATGATAAATGCAAACTCAGTGGACAAGCCATAATTGAAAACAGTTTTTAGTTTTTAACCTTAATATTATCAATCCTTAACTTTGTTGTCTGAAAATTTACATATACATCAAACCAAGCCGTAATGTTTTTAATATTTTCTGCGCTGAATAAAGTTTTAACAAGATTTTTATATTTAATATCACGGGGTTTAATTGACGAGTTCTTGACGCCCCTTTGTGAAGCAAATTGAAAATTTCGTCATGGCTTTCTTTCAAGGTTTATACGCTGTAGAACTCAACAATGAGAATATATCTCATTTGATTTGAAAACTTGAAAAAATATATTGCTACTGCAAATCTGCGTCGTAATTTTGAGGACGTTCAACGCGCGTTCAATAGATTCACCCGATGAATTGAAATTTAAAAAATTTTCGGCATTAAGGATTAATTTAACCCGAACTCATAAAAGTCCTACAGGTATTAGGAATACTATAATTATATTTTTATTTAAAAGCAAAATATCAAATAACGCTGAATTATTTATCATGAAAAAGTTTTTAAGCCAAATACGAGTTCGAAGACACGAGCTAGTCTGTATATATCTCGATGTTTTACATTTTTAGTTAACGGCTAAATAAAGCCCGCCAACTTTGTTTTAACTTTCACGAAATGAAATAAAATGCAATTGACAAGTCGTTATGACCTAAATTTTGTCTCAAAGAGGAACTCATATAAATTATTGATGAAATTCCGCATTAACTTTAAAGTGTTTGTGTATACTTCAATGCAAATTTTGGCAACGCCAACAAACTTTGTGTTATTTACAACCAAAAAAACGAGAAACAAGCAGACGGTTCCGGCAGACGTTCGTATAATTTATGCTTTTTTTCTACTAAGCCGATTTAGTTGAATTGTAGACGGTGATTATGACAGATGTGAACTGATTTAAACGGTTTGAAGTCTATTTTATATTTTTTCTTTCACTATGGCGGGTCTTTTATTAGTTTGCGGTGTAAAATATAGTCGAATTATAAGGCTTAAGCAAGCAGTTAAGAAATTCGCAATATACTGCCACAGGGAATCCTGATGAAGGAGGGCTTAAACGTGTCCCGAACTCATTTAGATCTCATGTGTCCAATGTCGTTTGCAAAATTATTCCGTCTACTTCACTCGTTGCTGCTCTTACCTAGTCGTGAGGCTCGCCGTCCGCTCTCGTACAACCATAACACAACGGTCTTGTCTTTGGAGGAAGTCGCCAAGATATTTTCATAAAAACAACAGCTCGTTACCTCAGCTGCATGGCCCTGTAGAGATCGAATCAGTTCTCCTGAGGCAACGTTCCACAGAAGAACAGTTTTATCGGCACCACATGTTGCCAGAACTGTGCCATCGGGCGTGAACTCACAATGCAGCACCGAGCGACTATGCCCAGACAATATTTGTACAACTCGTCCTTCAAAAGTCCTGCTATCTGTCTGGCCCATGATGGATTTTGATCACTGAATACTCGCTAACGATAGCCAAATGAGTCATTGACCAATGCCACCTACATATATTCCTGTTCGCGCATATCAATTTTAAATCATAGCTGGCTTTTTTTTGCAAGCCTAATCTAATCTGTGTTGTGGTCAAACTCTTCTTTTGCAAAATCCTGACGGATCACGATGGAATATTACGAGCGATTTTTAAGCGGCCTTCATGGACAAATATACCCGAAGCTCAAGAGCTATTAATGCAAATTTTGACCGATTTATATTGGCTGTCGAAACACCTGTTTACTGAAGCATAATTTAGTTAGTTTGACCAATCATAAACGCCGGGCAAGTTCAACTAACAGACGATTTTCCCACCGCATTTATATGAAAACAACGCGCATGCGCATTATCGTATTGTTATTCCCAGCTGGTTGCCATTTGTTTTCATTCAAATAAGCAAACAAGTTGTATCAAAGTAACAAATTTTATTATTAAAATAACAAGTTACAAAGTTATCTTAAGCGGCTCACCGCTCATACGATCTAATTTTGTTGGATCCAATCTATTTTTGATATATATTTTATGCTCCTTTGTCATGTAATGTATATACTATGAAAACGGAGATCTAGTTCTACAAGTTTGCACGAGCAAAACTATATTAAAATGCCGAATTCTATTTTCTTTATTGACGGTTTATATCGCAAATCTTATTTTTAATTTCTAATTCTTCCACCAAACTCCAACACGCACTCCAAAGTACACCATGTGATCGTTAATACAGTTCTGTAAATTATTTATACCAGCGAAGCATTGTAGCCAAACCTTAGGGTTATTGCTGCATCCGAGATCTTCGTTGTGAGGCAATCCTTGACACTTTTTATACGAAGATGTTTTCGTCATCACGGCGTTGCCATAGTGAATCTCTTTACCATGGTGATAGGGTCCCCCGGTGTTGGCAATGCAAGGTGTGCCTGGGAGGAGCGTCTTGCAGGTGGGCAGGTGAACAACAGGATCTCGATAATGGGTGACTCTGAAGCTGATGGGTACCAGTTTATCGTGCTGCAAGGCGTATCGGTAATCACCCACCCTTGGCTGGCCAAATGTGTAGAGAAATATGTTGGCTTCCGGTTTTCGTTTTTCGTACGAAAGAACTGTACTTGCCAGGGATGCCAAAGCCCCGCCAAGGGAATGGCCGGTGACCCAGACTTTGTAATTGGGATACCTTCAAACGATAAGTTTCTCATAAGCCTACACGTTGTCTCCTATTGACCCAGTGTTACTATATACAGGAGGAAACCAAAACTGAACTATTTATACTGGATGTCTCTATCAGTTCTAAACTGTTCTTTCTAGAGGTCCAGTAAGGATCATCTCTTATTGATCCAGTGTTACTACAGCAGGAAACCTAAACTAAACTAACTTTATTTATACTGGATATCTCTATCAGTTCTTAACTAATCTATCTCACCTTCTTATCTGTCTGTAAACATCATACTTGAGTCTCTTCCAAATCGAAACAAACACGTCATTGAAATATTTTTGAACCTTTCCACCAGCCTGGAAACGTACTTTAGGGACGCTCAATATTTTCAATGCTTGTACAACGACTTGATTGGTGTGTTGGGAACCTCGAAACGAAACAGCGATTGCACGTTCGCTGTGAGATACAGCAATGAAGCCTGAGCATTTCGCATTTCCTTGGCAGCGTTCTGTGACTTGCCGTATAACCCGGAAACTCGATACCTAGATATTGAGTGACGCAGTAAAAACGAGCGTGAATCCTTATACTTAATAGCTCTATCAGTTCTAAACTGTTCTTCCTAGTGGTCCAGTAAGGATCATCTCTTATTGATCCAGTGTTACTACAGGAAGAAACCTAAACTAAACTAACTTTATTTATACCTGGATAGCTCTATCAGTTCTAAACTGTTCTTCCTAGAGGTCCAATAAGGATCATCTCTTATTGATCCAGTGTTACTACAGGAGGAAACCTAAACTAAACTAACTTTATTTATACTGGATAGCTCTATCAGTTCTAAACTGTTCTTCCTAGAGGTCCAGTAGATAATTGATCCAGCATTACTAGAGAAGGGAATCTGTTTTTTTATTTCTAGTTGTTGTGGTCTTGTGGTCGGTGGTATTTTAAAAGAGGAAGTTGCACGACACTGCTCACGATTAACTGCCAGGTCTGTTCTGCCGAGAAAGGAAGGTAACATGCTAGTTCTATATTTGTTTATATTTGATATCTCGATCATCTACTGCACCGTTTTCATCTATAATCATTGATGAATATCTGTTTTCAACAAACCCTTACCTCGGTTGCTCGTTGTACATAATTAGCGACGGTATCAGCGTACGCCAAGGCAGAAAGATACACCATCTTAAATGCCAAATCTCTCTGGTATGTCGCTGTCACGATTTTACTGCAAGCACTGGCACTAACAACGTTTTGAGTCCTCGAACATGGGTTGGCAAAAATCGCGCCGTGTGCATGACATTTTTTATCTCTCGGGCACCAACGACATGAACTACCAGACCAACTTTTGTGATTCGTACAGGAAACGCAACGAATTTTTGAAGAGCATCTCGCACCACCAAGTCTTATTCTAAATCTTCGGCCAAATAACGCGTCGGTTTGAGAAACAGAAAGAAGAACAAAAACGCATAAACAGTACTTTAAGATAGCCATGATGTCCACGACGGTTCGTGAATAGAATGATGATAATTTGAGTGTCGCACTTGTTTATCCCTGGTGAAGGAGGAAGTTCAGCTGAAACGCGTCTCAGCAGTTGATTAACATGCGCCCTGATGCGCCCTCATTTGACCTAAAGCCAAAAGCAACAAATCTCTTGAAATATCTTGATTGGGCCGTCTTTTTAAACTCTTATTTTGACAGCAATTTAGGAAAACGACAGCCGACATTGCCAGGCTGACGGATTGATTCTGCTTTGCTGGCTTTGCAAATATTTTGATGTTCATTAAGTCTTAGGAATAGTGAATCATGATTAAAATGTATAATTTTCAGTTTTCACAGCAGGTCAGAATACCTGGCTGGCTTAAAACATGTTAAGTAAATACATGACTGAGCAGTAGACTTTTTATTGAATAAGATTCATTGATATAATACATTGAACATTAATGTACAACTTCCCTACCGACTGTCCTTAAATAAGACCTGATTTCACTAAAGTTTTTCGCTTCAACATTTTTGGTGCCTGATGAGGTAATTTCAAGAATAGCGCTTCAAAATCTACACAATACTTGATTATTCTGAGACTGCAAAACAAGCTGTGGTTGGGTTATATTTTAGATATAGCTCTTATCAAAACTTCAATCCGAAGTAAGGAAGGCCTGAATGTTGGCTGGTAAGTATGCCGAGCGAAAAACGTTAGTGAAATTGTCTGTGACTGTAAGTCTATCTAAGTGAATTCCATCTTAGAATAATCATAATCTTTCCGAGCTTTCTTGTAATACAACACCATAACGACGATAGCAATCAACAACACCCCCGCTACACTAAGCAATACAATAGCAATAACCCCGGGACTGGAAGATTTACCACCCTTGGCATTGTTTGTGCTTCGTGATATCTCATTGTTGGCATCGTTCTGACTGTGAGGCTTATCATTAACTATAATTCCATTTTTCTTATCATTTTTCTCGTTCTTTCCATAATCTATCAATGTTTTATTACTTGTCACTTCTCTTCCGTCTTTCAACTCAATCACAAAATCAAGTCTTGTAGGACCGGCTCCAACCCTGACACTTCTCGAAACCGACTTTCCCGGAAAGCCAGGGAGGGAAACCGTTACTTCGTAAATTCCAGGATTAAGCAATCGCCAGTAGTCTCCTTGTTTAGCAGTTTTCACAACTTTTCGACCCTTCTCGACACTGACTTCAGCACCGGCGAGAAGCTTACCATTGAGGTCCCTAACTGTCCCGTAAATACCTGAATGCACCTATAGGAATATTAAGAAATCAAAATTCGCTGAATGTAATCTATCGACTCCCTCCAGCATGAGTTTACCACCCATAGATCCCGTGCTATTGCCTCTAGGACCAAAATGAAACTGAGTAAAAATTCTTGATTTTTATCTACGAGTAAAAGGCTAGACAGACAAGATAAACTTTCTTTCAACGGCCTGTGATACACAGACGAAGAACACATCAGATGAACAGCCTTCTCACAGCCTGTATTAACTCACCTTCTGTATAAATGCAAGGAGAGCTTCTTTGTTGTCGTTCCAGTACTTTTGAAGTTCCTTGGCGTAAGGAAACTTACAACAACTTAGTTCCAAAGTAATTTCAAAGCAATTACTATGAAAATAGTTGTAATCTTGCATCCCACCTTCCACGCTGTACCAATGGGCACCGTTGGTGATTCCTGGAAAGATAAGCGAAGATTCGTAGAAATGATGAAGAAAATGGAGACATGACGATGGCTGTTTGTAGCCATGGTGAGCAGATCACAAATTCCTACCGAGTTTGAATTTCTCGTTTGGAAATCCGCTGCAAGCTCGGCCAAGGTGCATTGTGGCGTGATTCATTGAGTAGGTCAGAGCAAGTTCTTTGAAAACATCGTCATCTGGTGTGGAACTGTCCCTTGAGTTCACAGGGTAATCATCAAGTGGGTAGTTTGCAACCAAAGATCCTCCATGAAGATTGGCTGAGAGTACGAATGGATTGGATTCTATCCATTTGATCAGCAACTTCGTCTCTTTCTCTGGAGGTAACTTCGTGTGACGAAAATGATCTGGAAAATTTCTGGAATAGATTTTGACACATAGGACATCAAATGAGGACCTATCTTTTGGTATTTGTTAAATGAAATAAGATCATGTGGTGTTCACGCTATTCCCTACCTGTTTAAGTCGACGTGGTCAGCATTTTGACGACCTTGAACTGTGGAGCAATCGCCCTCGAAAGCGGCCTCGTAACCGTCTGGGTTCATCGTAGGCATAATGTGTATTCGTGTTGTATCCACGAGTTTTGTTATCTCTTCATTCTTACCATAATTATCGCACAACAAAGCGATTAAATGCAACAACAACTCTCTTCCCACAACCTCGTTCCCGTGCATATTGCCAACATACTTAAATTCTGGTTCTGTTAATTCGTGTTTTCCTGGGTTGTCGGATATCTCAAAAACCCACAGCTTTCTTCCTTCAACGGATTCTCCAATGTCGTACAGCTTCGAAATATTCTTACAAGATTCGGAATACTCCTTGAGGACTTTCGTCAGGGCATCGTAATTGTGATGTTTGAACTCAACTGATGCATCGTTTAACGATGTGGTTGAAAAAATTGCTAACAGAATAGCAACAATTGTCTTCGAGATTCTCTTCATTGCCAAGAGTTGTCTAGAAAAGATCAGGAAATGAATAGTTCTGTTGAAAGAGACAGTGAAGTCTTAGTAAAGATCACTTTCCTTCATCGAAGAGGTTTTACGAAACACTGTTATTACACTATGCATGTTTGTTTTCATGGTCCATTACGTTTGGAGGAAACATTTGTAAACAGGAATGAATTTGCTCGTCGCTGATCCATAAAAAAGCGAAAGAATCCGGGGTTTTGAAACACATGTAGGCTAAGGCTTCATCAGGTTAAATCGAACTTGTAACTCAATTTTTCCCATCGCAATTGAGAATGTCACAAACTGACAATCCCGTCATCGCGAGATCTATCAACTATATGGGCTGATATAAGCCATACAGCATCAAATACAGTAGATATCGTGTGGAGATATCTATTAGTAATTTTGTATCTACGGTGTATAGTGCGGCGTTTGAAAGTGACAAAATAAACGATTTCATCGCTTTCTGTGTCTAAAGTAAAACGTCTTCAATGATCTACTAAAGTAATGCGATACGGCCCTTGGATATAGTATCGTTAGACCACTTTGTTTTGAAGCGATGAGTCATGTAAGATGCTTGTTTCAACCTTCAAATTATATTTTGTCTAACAAACATTAAGATAACATTATGCCCATCGCTTTCTCCTGAGACTAAGTACAGAAACAATAGCGTCTCATGGGAATATACTGAGAAAATATCCGTTTAAGCAAAACCCTTCACGGTATGTAAATAAATACAATATTGAATACAAACCTTCAAATCGAAGACAACTCACAGTGTATATTTCTACAGCCTTCGTTTAGTTTGAAATTTTAATCGATGCTTCACAATTTATTGTGTTAAATGTACCCTTCTCTTGATGATTCTGTTGCGGTGAATGAATTTTATATCGAAAGAAAGCTTGGAGACGTATTGATATACTTTATTAATGAACATCTGCCATTCGTAATCAAACCCGAATTTCCATATTCAAAATGAAGACGTCATGGTTCCTTCCTCACAGATTATAATTTCATCTCTGTGGGAGGTTTCGTCATCCTACGCAGAAAAGTCGAAATGCAATAAAAACACAGCATTCATGATATCAGGTAATTTTAGATCCGGAGAAAAAGAGTTTTAAAATTTTAACTCTAATTTACTCTCGTGTAATTTGTAAAACGGCGTTGCTTGGCCTCTGCGCATGCACAAAGCTGATGTGAGATTACTTCTTTAACAATTGCAACAAACTCCATCTTATTAAAAGCTGAATAAGAGAAACGTCTTTTGGTTGAATCCTTACGAAGTCGTTGCTACTTGCTACATTGACTTAGAATTGGCTTAATTTCAACAATGAGATTGGATGTAAATTCGATTCCCAGATTATTGTAGAAATTTCGGAGCTCAGGAGTAGGAGACTGGCGATTAGCGTGATTGACAATGCATCATGGGGCTGTTTTAGGTCGAACGTTTCCCTGCATGCATTGCGAAATGCGAACTCTGCTATCACCAGTCGTCCATGTCTGTTCTTTCTCTGTACAGTGCTCATGACCACAGGAAATTCTGTTCATGAAATTTATTCGTACGTGACCGACTGTCGTGACCGTTTCAGGAGAGCGTCTCAAACTGTGGCTTGAGAGTCGAAGTCAGTTGCTTTGGCTGCACTTCCTTTAGGCAAGGTTGTCTACCGTTTGTGAAATGATGTTTTCTTCCAAAAGGAATTAATATATTTTCCTGTGACGATTTTAATCGTTAAATGAATTTTACCTTAAAAAAGAAGAGGCAATGTTATTAAAGACAAAACACAATTAGAATTTATCTTGTTATTGACATCGAATATTTCGTTCTGTTGCCATGATGTATCATGTATAATACACGGAATAAATCATATTTATCAATTATTGTGCACCTGCTCTTGTCCAAATAAGGCCAATTTGAAATCAGGAAAGATCGTCATAATTAGTCTGTTGAAATATTTCACAGCCAATAAAAGGCAACATCCAAACTCCGCGGAAACGTTCGTGTTGACTGCGTAAACTGTACAAGACAACTTATACAACATTTCGAACTAACGGTGTTTACCGGTTGCCGCCTTGAAGTGCAACAACAAAGGCTTGTTTGATCATTTTTGAGAACCGCCGACTCTTTTCTGAATTAGTCTTATTTGTTTTCCATCATTCTTGATAAAACGATAGGAGCATATATAGCTACAAGTATACTATAATTAGAACGGAAATCATGTACACAACTTCAATTCAAGCCATGGAACAGTTGAGACAAATGATTAAACTATCGGTCATCCAGCAGGAATCGAACCTACGCTATTTGCAATGTTGTATACTGTGTTTGATTTCCACTCAAAACTAAGCCCATTTAACTTGAGCAATTATCTTACACAGAATGAAATCTTAACTGATTTACCCTCATCAATAATTGGAACGGTTATCTTGCAATAAAACGAACTCAATCTATCGTAAACATAAATATATCTTTTGTATTAATCAACAATATTTTCTGTATTTTATTTTATTACGTCCTCACGGAGCCTGCTTTATCTTAAAATCAAAATATGATAGAAACCTATAGTTTAAAACAATATGTTTTGCCAAGTTGATGCCAGTTAGATGAGAATGCTCGAGTGAATACGATGTTACCAAATATTTTTAAAACAGTTTTTGTTCTTTTTCTGGTAAGTTGTCCCAGATTACTTCGTTCTTAGAATACGATAAAATATCCCCAACTGTATTCAGACGTATTTGTTAGAGAGCAACTTAACTCTATTATAACTGGACATAATTCAACTTACTGTACTCCATTTCTCGAGAAAATGCCTGCTCGTTTGCGAACAGTAGAAACTCAATCTCCCATCTCTTCTAATTCCAGGTTTTTCAATTCAGCAGCAGACTCTTCGCCAACGGTAAGTTTTTCTCTATCAGAAAACTATTTCATCTCAGCAGGATTGTTTCGTTCTTCTGTCGTAAGCTTCCTATATACATATATTGTCGTGAATGTAAGAATCGATTTTTTTCTTTTCTTCTATGGTTTCTGCTAGAGGTAACTAGAAAAAACCAGTGCTATCAGTTTGCAATCGTTAGTCAACCTTTTTAACGCTGTCCTAAAAACCATTTTTTATTAGCATCCAGCGCATGAGAAAGCCTTAAGGATTCGTTTACATTTTGTGATGAATGGGAGCAGTTATAGGAAAAGAAGGATGCACATTCTCCACCAAATCAGTCTACGGTGTTCGGCCACCAAATTCTATTTTCTATCGACCGTGTATCTGCAAATACTGTGTAGTTTTAAATATCGTTATTAAATTCTATATTACCTAGATTATATTGGCTGCTTCAGAGAGGACAATGACCATCCAGATTTTCGTTTCATCCCTGGGGACCTTGACCCTGCAGATGGCACTCCGCTGTCCTGTTTGACTGCGTGTTCATCCCGGTTCCAATACGCTGCGATCGCCGACAAGCGTGTGTGTTTATGCGGACGTGAGGTGAACACCTCTTTGATTGTGAATGATCTGTATTGCACAGAGAAATGTAAGGAGTCTGGTGACAGTCACGTCTGTGATCACGTGGTGTATTACAATGTGTACTGGAGAGAGAATGGAATTGTGGGATTGGTCATGAATATTGGGAAGAAGACAGAGTTGTTTTCGAAGACATGGTTTAATGCGAGTGTGGTTGGATCGTCCGTGGATTTCAGGTCTGGTTAAATCAAACCAATTTTTAAAAATTCCAGTAAGGATCATCTCTTATTGATCCAGTGTTACTACAGGAGGAAACCTAAACTAAACTAACTTTATTTATACTGGATAGCTCTATCAGTTCTAAACTGTTCTTCCTAAAGGTCCAGTAAGGATCATCTCTTATTGATCCAGTGTTACTACAGAAGGAAACCTAAACTAAACTAACTTTATTTATACTGGATAGCTCTATCACTTCTAAACTGTTCTTCCTAGAGGTCCAGTAAGCATCATCTCTTATTGATCCAGTGTTACTACAGGAGAAAACCTAAAGTAAAGTAAACACGCCCCAACTTTTTGTTGCAATTGATAGATTCAAACTGGACGACAAGTTTGTATCTGCTTGGTCAAATTCTTCCTCTCAATCCTACGTCTTTGTGGAGACTTGCCAACATGTTGTTCAAGTTGTCGCAAGGAATTCTTTTGGTAGTAAAGCAACGGTAGAAAGGACTTTAAATGTCGTGGACAGGTTTCAAAGCGCTCAATTTCACTGTCCACGAGCGTCCATTCCTGGGAATGAGATTGTCTGTGGTGGAGAGTGGCACGCCGGTGTGGGGACAGTTAGATTTGATTATGGAGACGACACGTCCGAAAGTTTTTATTTTGGTGAGTATTAGTTATGATCTTATAGGGCTTAAACATGAGATGATCCTTACTGGATCTCTAAGGAGAAGTGTTTAAGAACTGATAGAACTATCCAGTAAAATAAAGTTAGTTTAGTTTAGGTTTCCTCGGTTTCTCCTGTAGTAACACTGGATCAATAAGAGATGGTCCTTACTGGACCTCTAGGAAGAACAGTTCAGAACTGATAGAGCGATCCAGTATAAATAAAGTTAGTTTAGTTTAGGTTTCCTCCTGTAGTAACACTGGATCAAAAAGAGATGATCCTTACCGGACCTATAGGAAGAACAGTTTAGAACTGATAGAGCTATCCAGTATAAATAAAGTTAGTTTAGTTTAAATTTCCTCCTGTAGTAACAGTGGATTTTTTGTATACTTCAGAAGGAATTGATGAACTTGTTATAATTAGGCAATGTTTACATATTCTTCGGTGCACTGTCTGTATTTTATAGATACCCCAGTACATGTACATAATCCTGTGCCAGAAGTGAATGTAACTCCGTCTGGATTACCAGAGACAAATCACTCCACATACGTTTTGACAAGCGCTCTGAATGTTGAAGCTGGTGAAATAACTCACTGGTCGCTTCGAGCGACAAAACCTGGCAAAATCAGAGTTCAGGTATTGCTGCTCAGCCTTGGCTTGGTAAAGTTGTTCGACAGTTCTTCGTAAACCTAACTATATTTCGTTTCTAGATTTATCGTCCTCACCAGACGAACGAATCAACACAAGAGATGTATCTGAAGAGAACTACACGAAACGTAATCAAGTGTAACATTATGGAAACGTATTGCTTAACTCGGAAGCTTTGTGTACCGTTGAATGGCGCTCAAAATACTTCCGTCCCTTCCCAAGATAACACGACAAACATTTCCTTGAATTATGAGATGGTTTCTGAAGAAATCCTGGACGTACCGAACCTGGGTTATCACATCATCCCGAGTAAGAAATGCGTGAAATTACAAAGAGATGATGTGATTGGTTGGAGCTCAGATGGAGGTCTTTTGAGTTTTGTGGAGGACAAAAGCCCTGAAAGAGTGACGTTGGAATACCGTGGTCAAAATAAAACAAAGATACAGATGAAGCTCTCCACAAGGATTCATTTTGGTGCTCACATTTTAACTGCGTATATACGAGAACCGTTAAAATTTGAAATTCGTCATACTTATGAAGTCCCTGGGGTGTACACTATCCGATCGTCAGAAACCCTCCCATTATCCATAACTATCGATCGCCCGTTAACCTCATTTACCATTGATGTCCCCAAGTTAGGCGAGACAAACTCCACAGTTCTTCTGACTGTTAATCACCATAATTCAACTGGTGTTACATACTTTTGGAACTTTGGGGATAATAAGAGTGTGAACAGTACGAACTGGACTATCACGCATGTATACAGCTATCCCGGATTGTACCACATTGTCCTTAATGCCACAAATTCCGTCAGTAAGTTTGCAGTTGACTCTGGTATTGAGATCCTGAATCCAATTAGAAATTGCTATTTTAAGCAACCAGTGATAGCTGTGGTATTTGGTGAAGCAATATCCCTGGCATGGCGATGTTCCTCCGGTTCAAATGTTACATTTTACGTCTATTTTGGCGACGGAGGATTGCTTCAATTTCCGCCAATATCCGACAGTTTTATCGGGAATAATTTGTCGCATACTTATACGTCTGCTCGCCATTACATGCTTGAGATTGTGGTTTCCAGTCCTCTGAGAAAGAACGTGAGCTTCTCTGGAAGCGCAATGATTGAAGTCCCCATCGATGGTTTGGAAGTCAGTTTGCTTGATTGGAATCATACTGAAGTGCTATACATAGCCACTTTAAGTGAGCTAGTCTTTGAACGTGCGTTCACACACGGCTCGCACGTGATTTGCACGTTTGATTTTGGGGACTCCGAGTCAGTTACGAGTTCAGATATAATGGCCAACCATACATTTCGCAGACCAGGATATTATCACGTAAATATCACGTGTTTTAATCATGTAAGTTCCATGTGGGCAGTTTTGAATACCACTATAGTCGTCGAGGACATCTTAGCGTTGCAAAATCTCTCCCTAAAAATCGTACCTGCAATTCTTGGAAATATTTCCAAATTTCACTTGATCATTCCTGAAGGTAACTTATTCAGTTGTGAATGGGATTTTGGGGATAATACAACGCATATCACCTCTTATCCATCAGTGAATATAATTGCTTCTCATCTCTACCACGAAGTTGAAACATACAATGTCATCGTGATTTGCCGCAACAAACTCGGTGAAGTGTCGGTGACGGCGCACGCCGATGTCGACGAGCCAATCAATAATGCCTATCTGATGAATCCCACATCTTACATTCAAATCAACCAATCAGTGGAGTTCATTCTGAGTTTGCAAAAGGGAACTCGGTGTTGGTACTGTATTGAATGTAATGGTCGCGCTAGATACCTGGGAGATAACGTTACCACGGCAACGATATCACATGCCTATGCTATTGCGGGTCAATATCTTGTGACTTTAAAGTTATGGAATTCCGTTACCTTGATAACTCTCACTGCTTCAAAAGTTTTAGAAGTTCAACATCCCGTCGAAGGATTTCAAATGTTTGTAGCTGAAGAAAAAAGATGCCGGCATCCTCTCAATATCGCTGTGTGCTTAAACCTATCTGTAAACAATTTCCCGCCCTCGAATGCCTCCGTCTTACTTAATTATGGCGACAATTCGACCAAAGTCTTCAGCCTTGCTAATTTTAAATATCTCATGTGTTTGGACAAGCACAAATATTCCAATCCTGGACTTTTTAACATAACTGCAAAGATCTTCAATAATGTGAGCACTCAGCAGCTAATTTTGGTAAACCATGAAATACTACAGCATGCTGAACTGAACAACCTTAAAATTAGTTTTGAAAATGGTTCTGGGTTTCAGAAAGGTTTAGGCGAAAACAACCATTTTTTTCCTGCTAAAAAAGTTGTCAAGTTTGAAGTTGAAGAAAACCAACATGACGTCAGCTACGATTGGAGGATTGGGAACGAAAACTTTGGCAATAAAAGCGTTGTTGAAAACGTGTTTTCAAAGACCGGTTGTGGAAACGTTTCTGTGGTTATCAAAAGTTCCATTCTTGACGAAAAATGTCTCAGATTTCTTTGTATTGAAGAATCTCTTCTTGTCTTAAACCTAAGTGTTGTACAACCGGCGTATTTTAAAGACCCTACCGTATTTGAAATCTCTGTTGAAAACGCTAGTATTTCTTCTTGTTTTAAGCTGGATTTGGGAGACAATTCTTCAGTCATGTTTGGTTCTCCGGCATGTGGGAGAAAGCATCTATATCTTTCTAGTTATTCGCATTTTTATAAGAAACAGATGAATTACACTGCGACACTTACTCGTTGGAACAACGTTAGTTCCATCACTCGCTCTGTGAAGGTCTTTATCTGGGATGAAGCCTGTGGGAGTGTTATGGTTAAAATTACTGGCGGTGGCTCCAAACATCGGCCGTTCACCGTGAGAAGTTCGGGAGAGCTCGTACTTCATGCTCACGTCACGCATACATGTCACGTGGCCAAAACTGTTGTTGTTGATTGGTCCGTCTTTCTGTGGAACTTTGGCACCGTGGGGAGGCTAGTTTCCAGCAAGCGACGGACGCATGAAAATTCAAGCAAGCATTTCACCGATCAATTTTTAATAACAGCATCGAGATTTGCGACAGGAGTTTATAAAGTTAGGGTTCGCGTTGGTTTTATTGGGAAAGATAGGGATTTGAGGAACATCACTGGATTGAACTATACGTGGTTTGAGATTTACAGGCCACCGCTTATCGCGCGCATTGAAGGTGGGTATTTCACATGCAATTTGTAACCTTATGATCACTTTTTTCAAAATTCTTTTCATTATTTTCCAGGTGGTATATCGCGTTCAGTTCCATGGGATTCTCAGTTGGTTCTGGATGGAAGAAGATCTCAAAACTTAGGAAACATTCTGAAACAGCTTCGATTTTCATGGTCATGTCGCTTGGCAACGACAATATATTCCCTGGCGACTAACGTTGCATTAAATGAGTGTTTTCGTAATGGCATTGACGTGATCTGGAATACTTCTGTCGTGACGGTGCAGTCTGGGAAATTCAATCCCAACCAGGAGTATGTGTTTCGACTGGAGATTGAAGAAGGTAACCGAAGATCACATTCCGAACAAACAATCTTTGTTTTTGATGGACCAATTCCTTCTTTAGATTTGAGGTAAGTTTGGAGGTTTTGTTGAATGAAAATAAAGAAGAGAGATGAAAAAATATAAGTTGAATTGGAATGGAAAAAAGGTATTAATTAGGAGATAGAAAAAGTTGAACTGAATTTAACATTTTCTCCTTTAGATGTGTGGTAAATTGCAAGGAAACAGTCGACCCAAGCAAGCGTTTACTGCTGCAAAGCAAGTGTTTGAACTGTCAGCTTGATACAAAACTTCATTATCAATGGTCGATACATTACTGTAATGGCTCAGTCCACTCCTGTCAGGAGTTAACAGACTTTCACAGCAAAACCTCGACTGGTCTCTTGGGTGCTAACATCGCCATCATTGAGAATATTTTGGAAATTGGCGCGACTTATCGACTTCGTTGCAGTGCGTGGAGATTACGGTCGGACATTTCTGGTTATGTCGAGTATCTACTCAGGGTTAACAAGCCCCCGATTGATGGTCGTTGCTCAGTGACACCTAAAGAAGGATTCGCTTTGGAAACGTTGTTTAATATTTCCTGTTCTCACTGGTGGGATGAAGATATTCCGCTGACGTATTTGATTGGTAAGTTTACTGAGACAAGCGTATGGTGGATGTAACGTTAGTTTAGAATGAAAACAAACAGAGGGTTTCTTTTAAATCATTGTTTTTTTTCAGAGGCGCACAGTGGCGATCACCAAACATACTTGACATCGGGAAAACAGAGCAGTTTGTTAATTCGTTTGCCAGTAGGCTCAACGGAGAAGAACTTCACTCTTAGTGTCGTTGTTAAAGTTGTTGACGAGCAACTGTTCAGTACGACAACTACACATTCGGTCAAGGTATTCTTGGTTGTTTAGTTAGCAATTGCTGGTTTATCTATCGCAAATGGACAGTATAATTCTTCTTATACAATTATTCTAGGTCTCTCCTCCGTCTTCAGTGAATTACTCTAATGCAGTCCAAGACATTGGCGCGGCTGCAAAGTCAAACGATAAAGGGGAGGTGTTCGCGTTAGTCACATCACTTTGTTCAGTAATGAACCTCAACGTCTCCAGCCAGAATATCGCCAACAATTCGAAGGTATATTCCCAGAAACAAATCTCAAATCTCTTTAGTCTTATAACATCAATTGGTTGGAAAGATCCCATCCCAAATGAAAGCTAGCAATGCAGTATTACATTACTTTCTTGTTTTTATCTTCTTCAGGTGCGTTTTCAAATTGGTAAGATTTTAACATCAACAAACTTCACAGATTTGAACGGTGTTCAAGGGCTAAGCAACGCGTATGAAGTTTTAACTTTGATACCTGAAGAAACTAGTTTAGGATTGCAGGTAAATCGCTGAGACTAACCGTTTGCATTATACACACAATGCATATCGTAAAATGTGCTCTTTTTGACAGAACGAAGTGGTAAAATCTATTTTTGGGACGATCCCTGTCATGGAAAGCTTGGCTAATACATCACGTGATGTCCATAAAGTCGGCTCCAGTCTTCACAGGGTTTTGAGTAATATTATTGGAGCAGCCTTGGTGACGTCAATCAATACTGTTACTGAAGAAGAGAGCATAACGGCCAACGATACAAAAATCTATGCGGATAGAAAAGTAGGATAAAAACCATGACAGCTTATTGTAGAATACTACCTAACTAGACCACCACGCTTGAGATATCTTTTTCAGGTAGTTCAGACACAAACCACGACAGCTTATTGTAGAATATTACCTACACTGGACCACCACGCTTGAGATATCTTTTTCAGGTAGTTCAGACACAAACCACGACAGCTTATTGTAGAATACTACCTAACTGGACCATCACGCTTGAGATGGCTTCTTAGTATTTCCATAATTCTTACTCTTTCCAGCAGGAAAACAGCATTGAAATCACTTTCCAAACATTGGACGGAATTAACAACGTTTTATTACAACAAGTCCTAGCAGGAGACAGCTTAACGGTGATCAAGACAGATAACTACAATATTAAACTCACGAAGCGAAGTCTGAACTGTTTCATGCGAAACGACGAATATAATCTTACAACAGGCGAACTTCCTGTGAGACTCGAAGATACGAAATATTTGGTGAAGAATACGAACTACACAGACAACAGTATTCTTGGTTTGACGGTAATTATGTTTTAACGTTAATTTCTTCGGCACATTTTTTGGCAAATCCATAACAGATGCTATATTTTTTTTAGGTCACAGACTTGTTGAAAACGACCAGCAACATTTACAATACAACCTCTGACAAGATCACTTCGAATATTTTGCGTGTGAACTTGAGAGATTCTTTCGGGCGATATGTGGACTTGAGGAACATTCCTCTCAATATATTTGTCAAAACCTCACCGCAGAACACAGGACTTTCCTCAACTCACATTCTCAACGCTCGGAATAGTTTAAAATTTCATAAATTTAATCAAACTAGCGTCGACTCCACGCTCGTCATAATATTCAGTGACGTTGATCCCAATCTGAGCCTGCATGCCTTCCTTAGTATCGGCCAGCGACCAACATCAAAAGAATACGGCCTCAAAATCGAGTTTACCGCAAAGGAATTGGCCAGCGGACAATATACTTGGGTGGTATCGCGTGATCGATTACATAATCTCACCGATTCTCAAGAGTTCCAGGAATATTTCCTCGGCGTGACATGGAACGAGGACATGGTGCTGAATAACAAGAATTACACTCTTCGCGTAGTTTGGATGAAATGTTTGATGTTGGAGGATGAAGAGGGGACTTGGACGACTTCGGGGTGTAAGGTGAGCACGTATGTAAAGGATACGATACTCACAATTGTTCCTTTCTTATCGAAATTTTCATTCCAAGGTTGGTAATCTGACCACATTGGAACGGACACATTGTGTTTGCCAACCAGGAGAAAATGATCATTTCAGACTCCACAAGAGATCAGCAGAATTTAGCAGAAAAAAGACTTTCAAAATTTCCGTTGGAGGTTTGTAAATAAGAAAATCTGTTAGATATACTAGATTTGCATGTATTACTCTGCAATATCTGTCAGTTTTATTTAAACTGTTCTTCCTATTAATTCGTACTAAACTTCTTGAACATGTTTCTTTCAGCTGAAGTGTTTCCTTCTCCAAACAAAATCGACTTCAATTTCGTGTTTGACGCTGATGTCAGCGACAATCCTGTCGTCTTGATTGCAGTCTTAACTGTGCTCGGAGTATTCCTAATTCTTTTTGTATACGCGAGAAGACGAGATCGCAAAGACGCAGAGAAAGTAAGATGTTCTTCCTAGAGGTCCAGTAAGGATCATCTCTTATTGATCCAGTGTTACTACAGGAGGAAACCTAAACTAAATTAACTTTATTTATACTGGATAGTTCTATCAGTTCTAAACTGTTCTTCCTAGAGGTGCAGTAAGGATCATCTCTTATTGATCCAGTGTTACTACAGGAGGAAACCTAAACTAAACTAACCAGTGTTTTTTTCTATAGATTGGAGTCACAGCTTTGTCTAGCAACAAGTCATCCGACAAATATTTTTACGAAGTCACAATCCACACCGGTTCGGTTTACAACGCCGGCACTTCTGCGCATGTCTCAATCAAGGTGAGCGGTTCAGAGGAGGATCTGGGTCCAAGAGTTCTATACGATCCAACGAGACAATGCTTTCAACGTTCAGCAATCGACACATTCCTCATCAGCTCACGTGATTTCATTGGTGACATCAGCTATCTCCAAATATGGCATGACAACACAGGTGTCTCTCCTTCATGGTATTTGGATAAAATCGTCATACGCGACCTCAGTGACAAAAAGAGTTATGTATTCTTTAACGAAACTTGGCTTGCTGTTGAAAACACGCATTGTGAAGTGCAGAAACTTCTTTTTCCAGCATGCAAGGACGAAATATCACAATTCAAAAGGCTCTTTAATTCAACGATTCATAGCAAATTAAGAGACCAACATCTTTGGTTTTCGCTTTTATCCCGTCCTGTTGAGAGCCGCTTCACAATGGTCCAGCGGTTATCATGTTGTCTGACTTTGCTGTACACGACGATGCTTGCGAATGCAATGTTTTATCAGGGAGCTGTGTCAAATACGACTGAGTCGAGCCTCGTCGTGGGTCCTTTTATACTTGGCTTGCGTGAAGTCGCTGTCGGTATTTTTAGCGCGTTAGTTATCGTTCCTGTCAACGCCGGTCTCGTCTGGATGTTTCGAAATCTGGAGAGGAAACCTGCAGAAGATGATTTAGTGGCTCGAAGGCAGGGGAAAAGATTTTGGTGGTTTTATGAACTGTTTTTCTGTTGTTTCAAGCGAAGGAAATCTACGAACTTTGGAAAGATTATCAGAAGACGAAGTGGTAATGATTATTTATATCATGACGGACTCGATGAGGACGGAGATAAGGTAAGAAAGCTGGTGGAAAATAAGAAAATCTATCCAACAGCTGCTTGCTAGGTATACGTTTGTGTCTCGTTTTAGGTTTCCTATTCCGAGTACTCGTTGAAACACTTGGGTGATCCTGTTGAAATCTCAAACGCAACCATCAAACTTAGGGAGAAAACGGAAAAGTCGGTGACACCCTTTAAAATACCATACTGGTATGTTTATGGGATATGGTTCGTGTTGTGTTCCACCTGCTTTGTTTCTGCCTTCTTTCTGGTTCTCTATGGCTTGCAGTTTGGAAGAGTCGTGTCCAGTCAATGGTTGACTTCAATGACCGTTTCGTTTGTGCAAGATGTTCTGATCACTGAACCGCTGAAGGTTAGCGAAATTATTTTCTAAACTGTTCATCCTAGAGGTCCAGCGAGGATCATCTCTTTTTAATCCAGTGTTACTACAGGAGGAAACCTAAACTAAACTAATCTAAACTTAATAATCACATTTATATTTTGAATTTTCCATAAGGTTTTTGCAATGGCAATCGTTGTTGCTTTGATCATAAAGAAGCCGGAAAGTTCAGACCTTGATACCACAGATCATGAACAAACTATTGTGAATCATCAACTACAAAACACTGACAATAATGGTAGACGAAGATTATCCTCAACTCTTTTTTCAATTTCAATAAATTATTAAACTTATTCTCTTTCTCTTATATATAGATTCAGATCTGCCAAATCACGACGATATACTTCATTTAAAACCTCCGGATAAAAAAGATCTTGAAACGGCAAGAAACAAGAGGTATTTAAAAGGTTTCAAAAGAGCTTCGGAAACTTTTGATGGCAGCTCATTTCTGAACACTTCTTATAGGTTAAAAGAACTTCGAACAGGCGCCCTTTTGAAAGAGCTTGGTGTGTACGTTGTATTTTTATTCTGCCTGTCCACAGTGGTTTATAAAAGCAAGAATCCAATGTCATTTCAAATCAACAAAGTTATGACAGACCTCTTGGTTGAACAAAATGACGTTGGCGTGAATTTTCGCCAGGTAACTGCTTCAACAACTATAGCTAGGTAGTTCTTAAAAGTGTTCGTGGTATTCTACAATAAACTATCAACCCAATTTTGTGTCTTTCTAGATCTCGAATATTAGTGATTTACTGACCTGGACAAACAAAACATTCCTTGATATAATATTCCCCCCTTCCAACGATCCAAAACTCTTCTCAGGAGAAAACACAAACATGGTATTTGGTCATTTTTATCTTATCGGTTCTGTGCGACTTTATCAAACATTGGACGACAAAGGTAAGTAAAATTTCGTTCATTACTAAATGTATGTCGCCTCCGGCTTAGTTGAACAATTCATTTCTTGCAGTAAGTTCAACAAACACAGCCCAAACATTGTTCGTGGACCTGCGTGGTTCAAACGACACTGGCGATGCAAAAAACATGCACTTTGCACAAATTCAAAAATGGCTAAATAGAAAATCTCGTGAAATCATCATCAAATTTGACTTATATAATCCATCTTTGAACTTATTCTGCTTCGGGAAGCTAACTTACGAGGTATTGGCGTCGAACGGTGTGAAAACCCAGGGAGATTTTGAAGTCACAAAACTTTTTGCGGTTGGTGGGATTTTAGATACATTTTCTGTGGTCAATCATATCTTGTTGTTTCTCTTTTTCCTCATGTTAACTTACCGTGAACTAAAGCAGTTGTACCGGTTGAGAAAAGGTTATTTCAAATGCGTTTGGAACGTTCTACAAGGTTGTCTTGCTCTACTTATATTATCCTGTATCGTTGTATTTTTCCTGCGTTTAATATTGATCGAGAAAGTTCTAACAAGTCTTGAAGGCAACCGTGAAAACTCTATACGTTTCAACACGGTCGTAGTTATGGATAAACTTCTCACAAACTTAATAGCATTCATGGTTTTCCTATCGTGGCTTCTTGTAACGAAATTCCTTCGCTTCAATCGAAGGCTATCCTTCCTCCAGGACACTCTAGGAAAAGTGGCCAAACCTCTAGCAACTTATTCTGTGGTATTTTTTACCGTGTTTTTTGCCTACGTCCATTCGGGTTACCTGCTTTTCTCCAGAGAACTGAAACAGTTCAACGGCCTTCAGTCATCATTCACGTCGCTCTTCAGTCTCTTCATGGGACATTTTGATTTCCACACTTTGCAAAACTCGAATCGTATCATTGGACCTGTGTTTGTATTCACGGCTTTGTTTTTTGGAGGTTTCATAATCATCAACCTGCTGGTGGTTTTAATTCTGGAGTGCTTCTTGCTGGTAAAAACTGGGAGACGAGAGAATCAGTACGAGCTGTTTGAATACATCAAGAGAAACCTTTGCTATTGGTTGGGAATATCTCCGGGAAATGTCACCCAAGGAGATGTAGTACTACGAGAACGGTCTCCCACGAAGAATATCCCCGGAGAAAGAGGCCAACGTGGTGATTTTCCCGTACAAGATGCGTCACCTGGTGTGGAAGAGACTTTGGCGATTGAAAATCGTATCGCAAAGCAAGAGACCAACCTGAGGGAGATAGAAAGATCCACAAGTGCCCTGATGACGTCATTGGAAAGCGTTTGCGCAGAGGAATGGTACGAGGAATTGATGTTGTACAAGTTGATCTTGAAAGGCCTGGGCCTATCGTGCTATGATTGGTTGGATTGTGTGATGAATGTGGAGAGCAAGGAAGAAATGGGGATGGCGTTGATGCGTAGTGAGTTATACGAAGCTGTGGAGAACTATTCACAAGATATCGAGAACGGTGTTAAAATGTCAGCCGGAGAACCGGCGGCGGCTAATGGTAGTGTAGAGAGCTCATTGTCAAGTTTTGATCTTTGCTTTGAGGTACGAAATTTGTTTACCCTTTCCACTCAATTTAAATTATGATTAACTGAAGGGAACGTTTCACGGAAACGGACGTTGGTAAAGGCACAGCTTTAGAGGACGTGAAATGGTGAAAATGGCTGATGAATGGCGTGATGCGTCTATATATGGACATGCCCCGCCATTTATTCGCCATTCTCACACGTCATCTTTGACGTTCATGTCTTCGACTCTCCGTGCTGAATCTCCCAGTCATAGCAGGACGAGAGACCCACAAGAACATCAATTTCATCACAGGAATTAAACAATATTTCACCACATTGATAACCGCTGGTTTACCAGCTTTTGAAGCATTAGTAAAACTATTTAGAATTTCTCAGTAATAAAATCTTTTATGTTCAAAACAACAGCAATTTCTGATACAAAAGACTGAATTTCTTTATTTCTTTTCGTTTCATCTCTAGGATGAAAGCTTTTAACAAGTGCGTCTTTACAGAAGGAGTACTCTTTAAAACGAGTAAAGGCATTAGTATTATATTGTCTATAAATATATTATTTCTTTATATAAGTTTGTTTACAGTAGACCAAGAAGGTGAATATGAAACTATCGTCGTTCACACAAAATATTGAGGACAGGGCGCTCACGGTCAACACAGTTTTGACCAGAGTAATTTCTGAACAAAACACTGGTTGAGATTAGGACCGATGTGACCAGAAAACTTGTATAAATTAAAAGCAGGTCTGTCTTAGGTGGCCTATCAAAATATTTTATGAATTCCGAGACACCGGATTCTAAAATGGTCGACTGTAGAATCGTAAGCACCCCTCAAGCAGACTTTTGTAAATTTATAAATATATACACATATATCCTTTATCTAATAAATACTTTAACATAGACGAAGCTAATTTAATAAACCGCTACATTTTAAATGTACGTCGTCGTCTCATGACTTTTATTGGGAGTCAACGGAGGTGATTTGTGATTACCTGCAAGAAAAATGAAGAAAAGATCAGCCCCTGAAGCGTTTTTGGTTCAAGCTTTTTCTAAACATCATTATACCTTGTAACCGATATTTTTTCTTACCTCGACAAAATGCTTTTCCGACGGATTTTTTGACATAGTGAGTCAATCCCCAGCCTTTGGTACAGTACAGAGCTAGATCAAATACGAGCAGCAGAATCAACAGTTCTCCAAAGATTATTCCAAACAACAATGGCTTCGAAACGCCTGAGTCATTGTCTACGAAAAGAAGAAAACCGCGGTGAATTCCAACAACTAAAACAAGTGTTTTGTACTTTTCTCACAAAGACAATTATCAGGATGGAATCTCAAGTTCAATGCGTTTCCCAAATCTGTGGTCTAGTTGATAAAAAGGTCGTTAACGTTTGACTATTTATTGTTATTGACCATGGCGTGTGATTCGTTCATGATCCTTAAATGGGAGCAAACCGAGGTGGGAGTGGAACAAAGAGATCATATGGAATGTTTAATTACACAAAATACTAAGATTTTTCAAATTCACCTTTGCCTGCTTGAGCGCCAAACACAACTGAACCGACAACGCATCTGCACGTTTTCTCATCTATAACCCTGCCAATCCTTTTACATCTATTAACGACCCTTAATGGACATTCGCATCCACATCTATCAGAACTCCACACCTACATAAGAAAAGATCAGTGAATGATCATAATCCAGTGTCTAATATGAGCCCAATATCAGCTAATATTAAGAACTCAAGATTTGTAAACAAGAGATAGTTCTTCATGAGTTCTTATCCTCACAAGAGTTCAACAAGAACCTATCTAGCCCTACTACGAGCGTTCACAAACCTTTTCTTCCAGAAAACATTGATTCGCGTGTTCCTCGGCGTTACATTCACAATCACAAATATATCGGTTCCATCTGAAGTTATTGAAATGCTGAATAAGTTCATTTTGTTATAGCAATTCGAAATGCATTCTGGAGTCTCACGCTTGTGATGAACTATGGAGAAAGCTGCCAAGTGGAAGTAAATATAACAAAATGGATTTCACATTCGTACGAACGAGAACTTACCTGAATCTAGCTGGACAGGGTTCTGGTGGCCCATCGGGATATTTACATTCGCACACGCACGTCTTCTCGTTCCACACTTGCATCTGTTTGTCGCACATTTCCTTTTTGTTTGCGCATCCCCTCTTACATGAAGTATGGTTCTTTTCGGGGAACTCCTTAATTTGGCCCTTTAGCAAACTCTGCGCCCTAATCGTGACATCTTCAATCGTCGCCGGAATACACGTCGAAGCGCGCGGGGAGTTCAGATTGTACGAGCCACCGCAGCGATACAGGCTGATGAAAAATGGAAAATATTGATAGGAGGGGTGATCGATGGATATTAATATCGGCCGTGGACGACAGTATTCATTGTCTCCTGCTGTCAATACTTTAGCTGTGCCTGAAGGAAAATGAAGATTAGGGTTAAACTGGGTTACCAGGGGATAGCAGGTGTCATTTATGATGATACACAGCATACTAACTCCTCAGGCCAATGGTCGGAAGCTCAAAACGTTTTCATGTATATTTTAAGTTGTAGGAAGTTGTAACCTTAAGGCTTCTGACGAACGGACTCTTACATCGAAAGCTCGTTTTCATGTATATATTTCAGGAATTTTTAGTTGGTTTTTTTACCTCATAGCTTTAACACCATAAATAGATTAACTATTTACAGAATGAATAATACTCAAACCCCAATTTTTCCTGAATGATGAGCGAAGCCACAATTGACTACCAAAGGCAAAGTATATAACTATGCGATAAAGTTACATAAAGATGAATAAGCAACCAAGTTGTAAGCCAGCTTTCCTGACGAAGAGCCTTGCGTCCTTGGCGAAAACCCTCATTCTCAATTACGTCCATAGATTTCTCGAGAAGGTTTATTTTAGATATTTGCTGAATCATATTTGTCGACAAGTCGATAATCCTACTTACGTTTGACAGTCGGTCCTACTCTGATCGTCTCACATCGTCTCACTTCCTTTTTTATGAATAAGTTTCCCCTTTTCGAAAGGCACACGTGGGCATTCCTCGATCAAATTCATGCAACTCAGCCAATTCTTATATTGTGCACTTCGCTTAACTATAATAATATTCTTGATGACTCAATATAGAAAGCGATTGGATCTCATTCTTAGGCGTAAACCCATTTTTTCTAAAAGATCAAATGCGCCGGATAATGTCGAAAGCAGACAAAACTCTTTTACCAAACATACGCATGTTATATTCTCCTGAATGTGAATGAAATACCAGACCCATAATTACTTCCGTCTTAAAGATCTAATAACCGTAGTTTAATGGGTGTTGTCCTAGCACGTTTTTGAGAAATCTTAGATAAACATTAATAAATTGCGATTGATTACTTCTGGTGATCAGAAATTCCTTCCCACGATCACAATGTCAATGCAGTCTTGCATATGTTAGAATAAAGACCTTTAATCGTTTTATCAGAAGATCGATAATTAGTACAAATTTGAAATATTTATCGAATGGAGAATATTTCACATGCATCACTTTTATAGATGCCAATTTTTATTAGACCAGTTGACCAATAATCCCAACTGAGTCACGCAAATTCTTTCGATATGTGCTCTGACATTCGACCTGAATCAACTTCAAGGTGAATTTACGAATAACAACAACTTTGTATCACAAATTTATTTCATTTCGTGTAGGACTTAACTCCACGTGTACTTCTAGCGAGTAGATCTGACTGAACTGGTTTCGCTGTATGTAATAACCTGTTCTTCTGTTGTCCTTACGGAGAAAATAAAATTATACTTGGAAATACGATTCTTACAATGGCGGTCATCAGCGATCATTAGTGCATATCACTAAATAATAAACACAGTTACTAAGTTTCTGTAAAGGAATTTCGTTCGGCTAATGCGAAACATGTTGGCGTATAAACCATATTGATGTTTATTTTAAATTCCTTGGTATTTACTGTCCTTTCATACATGACTATGGACATGTTTGTAGCACATACGATATTGTACGGTATTCTTAATATGAATTGTAAGCATAGCAGAGCCGTGGGAGTATTATTTGTCGCAAATAGTTTCATAAGGCATGAGATGTGAAGAACGTAATTTGTGCCACTTTATAGGTTAGCAATATTGCTGAATAACCAAGATTGATCATTTCAACTGCATTCATTTTCCAAATTTATACGTTGGTAAAATAAAAGCGTTTGCCTAGCGTGTCAATCCAGCTTTCCATAAGCATCACCCAGACTACAGGCTAAACTGAGTTTTGTTACCATTCTGTGTGATTTACGGGCATCGCATTTCGTTGAACAGAGAAGGCATTGCATAATGGTGCAAACTACACACCAAAGAATGCATAATGCAATAAACTATATCCGTAATTGTAAAGTATAAGAACGCTATATAATGTAAAAATAATCTTTCTTACCTGTGTGAAAACAGCTTGAGATCAGCGTTATTGTCGTCAACAAAACAATACAATCGACTCCAATGAAGACCCTCATGATGTTCTTGGTTACAAACTGTTTCGAACTTGCTTTAGACTTCCTCGCAATAAGCTAGCGATAGGGTGTTAAAACGTGTAATATACACGCCTACAATGACCGCTAAATCAGAGATATTGATTCAAGTTTGGTTTCCGGGATGACGGCCGGACATGCGTCTGTTGGTTATTTATGCATTCGATCTTGTCGAGGACTCTCGTTATCGAATTACCATCACGAGGATGATATTTGATGCGTGTTCGTCGCGCGTGCACGTACGCAAACGTCGGGAAGGTTCGGGAGGATTCGGAAATCCTCGTATTATGTGTGTATCGTTTTTGCTGTCTGTAGCTAAGCATCGGTTGCTATCAGGTGATTTGACCAGCGTATAGATCACAATTTAATAATTCAGGGTTATTACGGGAGGAAACCTAAACTAAACTAACTTTTTTATACTGGATAGCTCTATCAGTTTTAAACTGTTCTTCCTAGAGGTCCAGTAAGGATCATGTCATATTGATCCAGTGTTACTACGGGTGGAAACCTAAACTAAACTAACTTTATTTATACTGGATAACTCTATCAGTTCTAAACTGTTCTTCCTAGAGGTCCAGTAAGGATCTTCTCTTATTGATCCAGTGTTACTACAGGAGGAAACCTAAACTAAACTAACTTTATTTATACTGGATAACTCTATCAGTTTAAACTGTTCTTCCTAGAGGTCCAGTAAGGATCTTCTCTTATTGATCCAGTGTTACTACAGGAGGAAACCTAAACTAAACTAACTCTATTTATACTGGATAGCGGCTCTATCAGTTTTAAACTGTTCTTCCTTGAGGTCCAGTAAGGATCATCTCTTATTGATCCAGTGTTACTACATGAGGAAACCTAAACTAAACCAACCCCATCAATACTGAGTTTCTCTATCAGTTCTAAACTGTTCTTTGTATTGGACTTTTTAATTGATCGCCCTCAGTCTATAAAAGAGGTTAATTGCCGGTTAAATGGAGTTGGTGTTGCTGATGATATAAATACAATAGAAGAAAAAATGAACAGAAATAACACAATTATCCCAAAAAGGTAAAATCAAACCATGGAAAAAGCGCTTTAATTATAGGGTGGTCTTTCAACTGTTCAGTTTTCCCACAGTTTGATTCGACTGTCATCCAAATAGGAAACCATTACCGTCTTGATATTTTTCCTTTTTATTATTGTTCGTGATAATTTGGGTAATTCTCCCACGTTCTCTTTATGCCTGTTCTGCATCGTCTCACTCTTCTCCTGGCAATCGACATGATAAAATCTGTGTGTACAATCAAACAATTAATGAGTAGGTGGTGTTCTATCGTTCCCTGTGATTTATGATTCAATTCTATGCTATTCAAATTATCCTGATTGACCCGTCATCAGTTGAACACATTTTGCCGCAGCACTAAAAAAAGCATCTGAAAATATTTTTGTTTATTATTGCCAAGGTAACTGATTGCTACCAACGTGTATTATTGTGAAAGTAAATATTTGTTATAGGCGAGTATAGATCTCGTCTTCTGCTCTGTAATTTACTGAAATGCACCCCTATTGTCTTAAAGAAATTTCTACATGTCAAAGTTCAACAGTTTTGAGTTTAAGTATGTTTTTCCTTCGTATATTGTCTAGGTAACTGCATGATCTTCGCCGCGGTTATATTTTAAAACCCCACGCATTGATTGCATGGTGACTTACCTTCATGACACTGCTGGCAGGTCTTCGCTGTTGAGGTATCACTGCTTTTAAACTGTTTGAAAACATGCCTCGCCTAGTTGTGTTTTGACTGAGTGCTTTAAATTTCTCAGTTCATTTGCGGTTTTTTCGCACAATGTACGCTTATCTTGTATTAATTGTTGTTTTCCGGTTCAATCTTACGAAAGCACGTGAGGTCCCCCGGTAATGGTAATCCACTGTGGTATTCTGGGAGGACTTTGAGGTTACTTTACGCGTCTGTCTGAGTTGATAGTGCATGTTCTCAATATCTCTGAAACTCTTTGGGAAAATTCCCATTATGTAGATCGCAAACATTTATCCTTCCTGAAGAACATTTTAGAACTTACAGTTTAGAACTATCCCAGTGAAAATATGCGTTAGTTTAGTTGTTATAACGCTCAACAACAACAACGGCAGTCTATAATTTATAGACTACTTATCCTGTTTGCATGAGGTTAATTCAGTTTAGGTAAGCTGTAGTAACACTGGATCAATAAGAGATGATCCTTACTGGATCTCTAGGAAGAACAGTTTAGAACTGATAGAGCTATCCAGTATAAATAAAGTTAGCTAATTAAGTTCACTATCACAGTTGGATATTTCACAATCAGATCTTTTATTCCAGATCTTATTGGAACATGGAAGAAACTTTGTTTTCTTGAAAAGGCAGCATGATTGATGACATAGGTATGGTTTTCACACCTTTGTTTATTTGGGAAGTATACGATTAGTAAACGGAGACACACCTGACCAATAAAATACCGGTGTTATTGGTCTTAATTATAATCTGATTGTTTTGCCATTTGAATGAAGCTTGTACGAAATTTTTGAGATATTTTACTCATTACTCATCCTAACTAAATCATCACTCGAAACAATAAAGACTGAAACATTAAATATTAGAGGGTATATCATATAACTGCATTTATTTTAGAGCTTTGCAATAATGAATTTACTAAGGCGTATTTCATCGCCTGGCTTTATTAGTTGCAAGGATACAGGAATCTCATTAAAGATTTAATGTTCAAAAATTTGTTGTAAATTACAACCCCTTTTTTGAACAAAATATCAAAAATATAAACCTTAGAAAACTACCTAAACAAGAAATTACGCAGTTCAGACACAAACAACCAACCAACCAAAAGATATGCAGACAGCAGAAAGCTTCCTCGGTGCTGAGATCTGCACAATTCAACGCTTGGAATCCTAAAAATGTGCGGATATTGGCTCACCCCGCATGGCATGCCAGGTTATCAGCGTGATCATGCTTATATTAACAATTAACAAACATTGATTACCCGACACAAACGAAGTAAACACGTTTAAACATCCTCAAACTCCTCAAACTAAATGCTAATATTTCAAATAAAATGCTCACTTCCGCAAGCAAAAAGTGCGATTCAACCGCAAGGTATTGAATGAGTTTGACAACTTTATAGAATCCTGAATGAGGATTCAAGCGTCTGATTGAGGTGCTTGAACCAAGGAATATTCTGGTGCTCAAAAGCGGCATCAGTCTAATACAAAATCTATATTTAGCTTTCAACTTATCACTATGGAGATATATTAAAAGTGATGTTTACATACAAATGCGTGGTTCTTTCGGTAGAGTAGGACAAGTACATAAAGTTTACCGGAGTGAAACTTGATCTTAACGAAACGCCCCCAAACTTTCTGCCGAAAAAACCGGTTTCGCGCTTTCCTAATTCTATAGAATGTTCTTTCACAAAATCCGGCATTGTTTTGGATGAATATTCCTTATATGATAATACTCCTTTTCGAAAGCGTGTGGAGCGTTGAGATATTCCGCCCTAGCTCATGAAGTTACCCGTGATTAACTGTCACAACTCTAGCTTTTTGGGAAAAGCTTTTGAGAAACAATTAATGCAATATATGATGTGCTCTGTAAGGCAAGGTATAGTCGACCATGATACTCCTCCATAATTCCGAAAATAAACAATTTTTCTCAGCTTATAAAACAAAGATCTTTCAAAAAGTATCATCGCCGTGGAACATGAATCTATCCTCAATACTCGAGTCTTTGTGATTCTCTTTGAACTTTTTTTACGATGCAATAAAGGAATAAAGAGAGTGCTAAATACGCCTTTAGTACCAACGAGCAACGGTTTTCTATATTTAACTCGCAATACAGGAAATCATATTAGCTATATCAAATGATCCAACTGCTACTTCCTACGTGGCTCAGACTGAATCTATGTCATATTTGAACGCTTTCATTTTCTCACAACCATCTCTTGTATTGCTTCGTCACAGGCAGTTACGTCATTATCAGTCAGTTTTTTCTACCAAAGTTACGTAATATGTCGTATCAAAATTGTCCTTCAAAAGTTCAAATGTAAAAAATTGGTTAAATTGCATCGTGAGATTATTTTGTTTTTTTAATGAATATTTGTTGTGCATGAAATGGGTTCTTTAAAACACACTGCTCCACATAAGAAATGATTGGGTTTCACTCACATCACTCCCTCCATCATGTTTCAGATTTTAGTTTCCAAAGCAAGAATCCTCGTTGCAATAACGATTTCCTTCCATTCAAATCAAATCAAAACAGTATATAGACATATATGTAATTTTCAGTCGCGTGCGTGAACGAGCTTCCGTTGTTTCTTCCGTTGTGAACGAAACAAAACTGTACTCTAGTCAATCGTTATACAAAGAATCCTGTGTTACATAATGTTAGACTGCTATGACTTTATCTATACTCTCCTAAATTAGGTTAGGCTCATTTGCATGTGTCCTGCTGTGTTGTTAAAAAGGTTGTCCTGACAAGTGTTTGTTATACACCAGTCCACACTACATTCATCTTCAGTCATGCCATAAACTCACCTCACTCGTAATTTAACGTTTATAGTCTAACGATTTGTTAAGCCGATTTGAGTTATTGATGTTTACGATACGTTTTGGTAGTTGATTGTGGAGTTATGCTGTCGTTGTCAACTATACATCTCCTTGATAACGTCAACATGCGTCTGATTCAGCTGGGATGGGCCCATCTCATTACTTTCATTGAATGAAGAATGATCAGTGCGTACTCTTAGAAACGATATAATTAGATTGATCACTTGATAAAGACCTCTCATACTAACTTAAATCGTTTCGCATTAGCAAGAGTCAAGAATACTTTCAATTCCTATTGAACGATCCAGACCCTCCACCAGATGAATGGGCGATGATAAGTTGATTTTATTACTGTCACATCCTTACTTCACCTGATATAATAATTTCCGATGTAAAGATATACACTTCAAGGAAAGAATGGTTGATTGATCGAAATCAATGCTCGTAGGCATGTTTATGAAAAAGATATGGTTCCGATTACATTCAAGAACACTCGCTCAGCAGTGGGATTATCCTCGTGACAGACAGGCGAGGATGGTTGGTATTTGCCAGACTCTATTCTTAGAAATCTAATTCCAAGCCCAAATAAATCAAATCATATCGAAATTTGGACTTCAAGGCGATGTTATGAACGGCTATAGCAACGCCACACAACAAAACAAGCAGACATATTTTAGCTTTTGTAAGGAAAACCTGACACAGAAATCGGGCGTCTATTAATAGACAGACATAAGACCCGTTGACACCCAGTTGGAGATGCTGTACTTCAGCTAAACAAACATCCAGTGCAGTAAGTGCACACAAGATTTTTAAAACTAGACATGAATTCTGTTAAACATCAGATCATTTGAAGGGATTAAGGGCAACCCACGATCCTTGTGTTTATTTTATAGCTTCGCCCACTGATGCAAGGGTGTGTTTAAGAGTGAAAGAACCTGGTGCTTTTGTGATCGTTTAACGCTTTCTTTCTCTCGAAGAAGTTTAGGTGTGTTTAAAACTGTTGACATTGGTTTAATAAACTGTCATTCAAAGTTTGATAATGTAAGCTGAATATCACTTTGTAATTTGAACTATTTTGAAGTGGAGTACTTATCCCCGCTGCCGTGCTGGTTGGAGACTGACACTAGTTTTCATCGTGGACTTTCGTTTCCCGAGATATATTTAGCAACAATTATGCTGCTCAACAGCTAGCGCTCGCTTTTCGAACGGTTTTCAAACCATTTATGGCCATTTCCGAGGCAAGAGGAAGCCTGAAGTAACATTAAATACTCATGAAGTGTTTATTTTTGCACGAGAGAGCTATATCACATCTCTCTAAGTTGTTATTCCAAGCGGTCTAGTATCGATCCTTGATATTGTTCCCGCGTTGTTGCAAGATTATTGCTTGTTGATAATTAGTTCTACTTGCTTCTCCATAAGCTTCCGGTAAGCATTATGCGTTGTTGTTCCTGCCGAGTTATAATCTTCAACTCTCTCTCTCTGATGAACCCTGTTGTGCTCGGTAATGAGTTTATCCTAAAATATGAGCTATTCTTAGTGATGATTCACGGCATATTCACCGTGAAATATTCTTCCTAAAACTACAAAGAAACGACGCCATTCTGCAAAAAATGACGTCACAACACACACGCTTTCACTCTAGAAATGTGATGGTAACTGTGCCAAGACCGAATGCCTACTGGGCGACACGCTAATGAAAAAAACTGAGATTCGGTGGCAAAAATTTAGGCAATCGTGCATGTGTCAAAAGGCCAAATTCCTGAAAATTTAGTTCACGCTGGCCTTTGCCTCCTCTTAATCCGCTTCCTGGAATTTTTTTCTGGATTGATTACATTACTGTTGTATGTTGTTGATCACTGCGAGACAGGCTAACCCATGCATAGCTCACAGGATCACCTGACTTTCACCGGTAGACGAGATTGAGTTTCCTAGAAGTTTCCAGCTTATCACATGAGACAAATTATCGCAAGCAGGAAGATGTTTCACTGCATGTACAACTCTTGTTTACTTCCAATACGATAGCAAAAACCTCTTGTAAATTTTCCTCCTCGAGCAATCAGCGTAACGAATATTAGAGTAATCAATAACATTCAAAAACTTCCTGTGATTATTGTCTCCCTCTGATTATTCTACGTTCGGAGTAGTTTCGAACCTCACGAAAAATTGTACATGCAAAGAAGGCGCTTTGGTACATGATATATTTATCTATTGATAAACAGACAGATGCATCGTGTCATTTTGTCACTATCTCTCAAGTGCGAAATTTGCAACCTTGCTAAATTACCTATCCTCACGTAAAACGCCTAAACATGATTGAAAGTAGCTCAATCATAGCTGAAATTATAGTCTTACTGCATATGTACATGTGAATATCGATCGACAGGAATTCCAATTGACCTTTCTAGGGAATGATACGTTTCCAAGTTCCTCTTTCACCGTCGCCTAGGTCAACCATGTGATCACACCGTGATGTGATGAACGCCATGGTTGACTAAATGTTGAAAATAACCCTTAAAATATCTTTCAGATAATTCAACAGATTAGAAATTAATATCCCTGTTTCACAGAACTTTTACAATCGAGTTATTTTGATTTACCAAACGGAATATCTGGAGATAGAAGGGTCAGTTTCATAAATAAAAGGTGGTCAATTTTATACTTTGCATTAATTTTGGATTCCTGGTAACTGCATCCATATGCACCCTTACATGCATGTGTTAAAGTGCAATTATTCTGTAAGGGTTTCTGGAAAAAACGGTTCCTACTAAGGAATAACGATTCTCCTATCCTATAATTAACTCTCTGTAATTTGTATTTGGATTTTAACTATAAATGGTCAATGTAGAGTCGACAGTTCCAACGGTAGACAAAACATTTTTTGCGAACAGTGACTAAATTAAAAAGCGAAAAGTTTGTATTATTACGTTCACGGATGCTCTTTGTCCACCAGTTCCGGATCGTGGTTTGGAATGAACGAAAATCGCTTGGATATTTGATATGGGCGTGAGGCCCGAATCATCAAACACAGGCATGCGTGGGTAAGAATTACCATAGCGGAAGATCTCGAATGCTATTTAAACCCGAGAGCATTGCTGAATGAAGTGAATAGCCTCAAAGTTGAAACATCTCAATATCGCTCGACAAGCTAGTGTTTGTTAACCACTGTATACCACAATCAATTGTGTATTACACAAGTATTTTTAATTCTGTTCTTAACTTATTAATCCAACGAAGGATGTATGGTTATTTGGTGATATATTTTGCAACAATTATTTGTCTACAGTTATACGTTACAGTCGGTAAGTGTATTATGTACTTTTTCTCTTTGAATTCATCATTTCCAGTTGTTCAAAGACGTTGCCTTTGACCAAGTATAAAACGGCAGAGAAAGGCATTTTCGATAAACGATACACAGAAGTCAAGAATTTGTGTTATGAAGCCATAACATTTATATTGGTGTAGCGGTTTCAACACAGTTGAGAGCGTGTTTATACAGTACTATACATACAGGCTATATGGTATATCTTACGCTTTGAAGTTTGAAACCATCGTTAGTTTAATACCATGAACTAGAGGTGCTTCTAAAATTGTTATTGTTGTATTTAGTAAGAAGCAACGTTTATCATACGATTAGGTTGTGTCTACACTTCAACTGCCTAACGTAAATACTCTTCTCACAAGTTAATTACTTATCGAGTGCGTTCGCTCTATGGCGACCTTCGACTGTCGTTTCACTACACAATCAAATATGAATGAACTGTCGAATTAGGCGTATTTCAAGAGATCAAATTGTTCATTAAGAAATTCTTGTCGCTTCAAGTTACTAACGGGCAACACATAACAAAGTTAACAATGCCAATGAAAATACAAACATGCATCACGCAAAGACGATTAGTTAGTTGTGCCGCTTCGGATTGCTGCTATTTGGAAAGACCTTAAACAACGTTCAATTAGATAAAAGTCTAAAGGTCCAAATTAACAGCTTTTGAAAACATCTCCCCACTGTGATTTCTATCGTTTCATTGCAATTTTCGATAATGATAAACGAAAGGGCAGTATTGGACACCGTTTACACAATCAATTCGGACTCAGACACTGATATATGATATAGGTATGACACTAAAAACTTTGAAAATCTGTCTTGAATTCTCGGCCTTACTCGAAGGAACTTCTAATGGCTGTTTGTCCGTCAAATTTGTCACGGTAAATAAAGCAGGAAATCATACCTGCAACGCGCTGTAAGGCATTTGGCTATTGGGGAATATTTCTAACTTATTTAATAAACTGCTCTTTGGATTCTGCTCTTGATATTTCCGTAAGTGATTTGCATGTTTTGCCGGAAAAAACGGATTGTGAAATGGCCATTGTGAGATCGTATTTAAATAAATATTCAATCAAGCATGGTGCCAATTGTCTCCAGTCTTGTGTACGAAGTCATATATTGCATCACTTTAAGCCTTTTCCACGCCGTCGTACAGAGAAAAAGGTAATTTGAGAATATTGTTGTTTGGCACCGCAAGAAGGGAAAATTCAAGGTGGATGGTTGATGAAAAAAAAAAAGAAAATCCGGATAGGAACAAAACACTTTCACACGGGCAAAAAATGAAAGCTTTACAATATCACTGTGATGACTAGGAAGTTTCTGTCAAGCGAAAAACTCATGTTTCATCTTTTCAGATTGCCGGCTCCATTCGGATCACAACGTGGAATGTGGAATTTATCCACAGATTGTTACAGTGGACGGCGGAGGATTGCCGTATTTCGTGGAACTAAATCAATGCCAGGGTGCTGTCGAAGGTTTTGACCCCGCAATAAAAAACTGCACGTTCCATTCATTTAAAAATGTGAGCGTCAAAATCACAACCCATGGAGGTGAAAAAACTGTCGTTTTAAAAAACCACACAAGTTGTAAAGGAACGTGCGCAAAGCCATGTCCGACAAAATGGCACAACAGGGACCCGTTAACGTGTGCATGCAAATGTAACCATGCTCAAATACCGAATGGCCACGAGTGTCCAAAGGATCACGCGTAAGTTATGCATATTTTTATATAAGTTTTTCTATCGATGCTTTTTCCATAAATGCTTCTGAAACAAGGGATGATATATATGAACAAAAGCCAGAGGAATACTTGTGATGTGATGATAACTGGTGTGTTTCTATGCGTTTTTAGTTGGGACAAAAATAACTGCAACTGTCGATGTGATTTGAAAAGGACCCCGAAGAAAGTAAATAATTAACTTTGCATTAACATTTTTACTTTCCTTTTTTTTTTCAAATTTTCAGAAGCAGAAATAAATTAATTTCATCGCATTTATTTATCTCATTATTTTCTTAGAAAGTGAACTTAGAAGAATGCAAGCTCGAGTGTAAACGGGTTCGTGAATGTCAATCAGGTTGGGCTTTCAACAAGGACGACTGTAGATGTTACCGAACCCGTGCTGCGGCGTCAAGTAGTGAAGGTACTGGAATAACTAGGTTCTTCTTTAACTGCATGTCATATTCATGAATTCATCGAATATGATTTATCATTGAATTATCAGTTTGATGATAGATCAATTACTGAATTGAGAATTTTTCGTTTAGTTGGTTAATTTTCTTTGTAACTTGTTGTTTGATGTATCAATTATTTGTTCTAATTGGTTCATTAGCTACCCGTTTGACTGATTAAGTGTTGTCTTGATGTATCAATTATTCGATTAATTGGTTTATTTATTTCTTAGGATCCGACAGCAGCAATCAGGGGAAGATCTTAGCAGCAGTGGTTCTTGGAGAGTTTTTTTTTCTTTTTTTTATCTTTGATTTCATTTTGTACTTGAAGGGAACAGGATTTATGTACAATGTTATAAACAAATGTAAAAGAAATCCACGTGGTATGTGACATGTATCTATCACCAAAATATTACCATGCATTGCAGCCAAGAAATCTTCATATATTGATATGTCTGATCTTAACAAGTTTCATGCAAATTGTCTATCACAATTCTAATTTTTTCAGGATTACTGAAATTAGCAACTAAAAATTGCTTTCTTTTAAGATAAGTCAACTCCACATGGGGAGCAAGCTCGCTTAAATCATGAAGAGAATGATAATAATATCCCTGTCGGTGTCCGTGTGGACAGGAATGGCGCTTCTCATGCTCAACAGAAAGTTAACCCGACGTGAATATTGCAGTATTTTATCAAATTCTGACAGAAAGACAGAAGAAAAGAAAAGTACAAAGCATGCTCGACTGTAGTTTGTAGTCATTCACACGAACCATTGTTTAGTGAAAGGATGTGTATATTCATCGTCGTATCATATTTGTAGACTGTAGTATAACGCTGCTGTTGTAGTCATGACTTGAATGGTTCTCTTGTATAAATTTCTACCTTCAGTGGTCCAAATAGTGAAGTTAAAATCAATGTTCTAAAGAAATTTAAGGGACGATACGTCAAAATTATTTCTCTAGAGCATTGATTTTCATTTTAAGATTACTTATTCACCCAACTGCTGTTCATATTAGTCAGAAACGTTCAAAGTGAAATGGAGTAACTACTATCTATTGTACATAGTGAAACATAATAATGAGTGGTCTAGCCAAAATTGGTGTTGGTTTTTCGTCGAGCAAGACAGCAATGTTGGCGTAGGAAATTTGCATTAGGACTGGTTCTTCAGCGAAATCGACCCAAACACGTTTAATACCTGCTGTCACCTGACGTTAACCAACCATATTTTCGGAAAGATCACGTCGATAGCCACTTTTCTGAGCTTAGGACACATAAGTGATTCATTTTAAGTGATTAATTGTCTCCTGATGTGATCCTGGATGTAGTATTTCAAACGGTTTTGTAAAATATTAAGTATGGAAAGTATGGAAAGTTTAGATTAACGACATAACTATGAACTATAAATAACACGACTAATTTTGTGTTGGTAATGTCGACCAGGTAGCCATTGCATAGTTTATTATTGCAATAAGAGAGACTAAAAAATAGATAGAATAAAGTCTAAAATATTTATTATCCATGTATATTATTTAATTCATTAACACTGTTGCGAGAACAATTGCTGTGTGTATGTAGTTTGTGGTACATTAGTGACGTAGAATAAAATATATTTTCATAAATTTTCATACGAGCTGTTTGTAGCTTTGTTATATTTCCTTTTCTCGTCAAACGCTGATGTGGAAGCAAGTGGAAGTTGTCATTAGAGTATGATGTACCTGCATGAGGTGCCATCGTGAATGACACCGTGGAATAAAATCCATAAAATTTGAATGGTTGGGATCTTCAAAACCGTATTGAAGTTCCATTATATCGTTATATAAATTTGGATGAAACCAATTACTAATTGACAAATGCGATGGCAACTTCTCTGCTAGTTTTTTTAACGATGCATAATTTTCTGACACGTTTGTTACAAGACTGAACTTTATTAAAAATCTATTAAACTTTATATATATGAGATCTATATGATTAAATATACTTATACGATTATTAAATATAAACAGATCTATTATGGACAGGTTGGCAGGTCTATGTGCATACCATCACCCAGTCTCTCATCCGTGTCTGTGTAAACATGCAATATCTTTAGTGACGTTGATTCTCTCAACCCCACCATTATAGATTCTTTCTCTTTGAATAGCTATGGTAGTTTTTGTAGGATTACAACGACCTGGACATCTCGTTATTGAGACCCAAGGAACAGTGTAGTTCAACCCTAGCCAATGTTGGTAAATTCGTGGACCCTTGTGGCAAGGAGCTATAGAGAGATGAATTTAATTTGATCATTTTTCATATTCACTTATGGCTGAGCCCAGTTAATATAGCTGAGCGACCTGAGACAATGAATATTGTGAATAACATACACTGAAAATATCGTGTGGTGATATTCTTGAGAGAGGCAATTGAGATGTACTTCTTCCTCGATTCGTCAAGTCCTTGAGGACTCCTGGTCCATTCATAGTCACATTTCGTGTGATTTTCTACTTTAAAATACTCTGTTTTCTGAAAAGGATTCAAAACCAATCAAATTGAAATAGCTACAGCTAGTCCGCTCATGAAAACAACAAGAGATAATCCTTACAGCGGACCTCTTGAGAACAGAAGAAAAGTTGAGAACTGATATACCTATACGTTAAGCAGTTCATTGAGTTTTTAGTATTGAATTTATTACAATTATCCTGTGGTGAACTCTATATAGAATATATATTATTGCCACGGCGTATTACAGCATGTACGTACTACGTAGCGTACCTTAGAGTCTGTCATAAAGCTCACTTTTACATAAAACGATGTCTTATTCACCGGGACGCTGGGGAAAAGACACCAATCAACTTGAATCAACATTTGGTTGTATCTCAAAGCCAAATTACTGCCAGGTTCGTGCAGGTAGAGAGTCGTCGTCTTCGGTGAAAAGTTGTCTGTAAAGTTTTTAAAATTTCAACAAATTATAGAGAGATGTAACAAGTTGATGTATTAAGAAATATGGTGGAAAAGATTGCAAATATGGTTGAAAGGTTGATGACAGACTTAGTAAAGACAACGGTGACTTTTGGTCAAAGTTTGAAAGATCAAAGGTTAGTAAAGATTTTATCATGATGTATGATGAATTACATGTTGTGAAATAACCGAAAAGTACAGTATTATAGCCTAACACAAATAGCTATATACTTAGTATTCATAGAGGTTTATTTGTTGTAGTTGTTGTTTTTGTGAAATTAATATATGTAGAACATATGCCGAGGAAAAGAAGAAAAGGTTCTTCGTTATCGTTTTTTGGATACAGAGTGTATTTAGTCTTCCCTGTCTTGGGTTAATTTCGTTTGTCAAAATTATTATAAACCCTACCTTTCGCGGTTCCTCGACATTGGAAAACGAAGAAGCAGAAGAGTAGCAAAGAAGACCTTCTGATAGGTTTCCACGTCGCCGAGCAATGCATCTCTGAGAACTGAGCAAGCTAGACCACCGTTTAGCCGTGTGTTTTGCCTGTGCAGTGGCTTGTAAATGTTGATTTCTCTTGATTTAACTTGGCTTATATAGAGTCACGTTTGTCTCTTTTGGATTTCATCCCGGATTTATAGAGATGCAACGGAACATTTTCGATCCAATCAACAACTATTTTTGTTCAGTTTAGGTGCGGCATTATGTGAATGCATCAAATTGGCGAAATAATTAGCATATTATTTTCTTTTCTGGATTTAAATCAACGCATAAAAACGTGGGTATGATATGGCAACGGCAATGGAAAAATGGGAAATAATTACATAACCCAAACGAAAGTGGAATAGCTCGCCTGTACCGAAGCCGTCAACTGCCAAAACGCCCTCAAGGCCTCAAGTACAGCGTATTCCTGGTCCCATTCCTGACACTTTGAAATTTCCAACCTAATTTAGACACTCGGTTCTATTAATAACAACAAAAAATATCTAACAGGTTGGCACCAGGATTTTTAAGTAGGTGTCATCTTTAATACTATAATTGCCATATACGAAGCTACTATGGTTTATTAGCTTCTGTTTGCTGCCAGTATTTCATGTTTGACGTTTGAAATGCTAAACTTGATCATGAATGCTTTCTGGCAAATTTGAAGACTGTCGCTCGTAAGCGCCAAATATTTCGTGTGAATGCTTGAGGTCTAGATCTTCACAAGATTAGAACGTGATATAGTAATTAAAATTGTTCCGAATCGTTTCTTCCGTAGTTACTAAGTATGAGGATATTAAAACCAGGAGAATGACGATGCATGGTTTGGAAACCCTTGTAATCCTTGTAATAATAGACACTTTCCGAATTTGTTCTAGGGCAATGAAAACTATCCCACATACAATAGATACATTGACCGCCTTGTTTCCAAGCTATTGTTTAGTGTGCACTAAAGAAATTCGGGAAGTCTTCGTTGATTCTGTTATATTTTCGGGGAATATTAAAGATCGCTATGCAGGAACTGGGGAGAGTACTCAGGGGTAAGTTAAGGTGGTTTTCAGTCGATATAAATTTTTATATCCGTTCCATATATGTTTAATAACAGTGTTTTTTGTATGTAAAAGAAAAATTTGGAAAGCATGCAAAAAAAAAGAAAATTGGGGAAAGAATGTAAAAACACCCAAAAGAGATCATCCAACCTATGCCACAATCTAACCTGGTTATACAACCGGCTGCAATATTCAGCATAGTTACAACTGCGAAAGGTGCAAGGCGGTTGCTATAGGAAGAACTCCCCCCCATAACTCACATCTTAACGGCCGTCTAAGGGGGAGATGCACTACGGCCCCCAGACCATGATGTATGTGCACCTAACCGTTACGTCTCAGTGAGAAACAGAGTATGCATCGCCACAAGCCTAGCGTCATAGACGAATCAGCTACAGTGGCTAGCCCTGAGAGCGAAGATAAATTTAACGTATTTAAGCTTTTCCTGGTCTCGGGGGGCGGTCCTTAACAAGTATATGCATAGAAAACGACTAATAAGGCACACGCTTGGAAATGACCAGATTTAAACGACTGAACGTTTTTTTAAGTATTTTTAGCGAGAAATTTTAGTGTTTTGATATTCTTTTAGTGTTTTGAAACAATCCTTGTTGGTTTTTAACGTTAGAATAATCGTCATTCTCAAAAGGAAACTCAATATAAGTGACTGAACGGCTTAGTTTGCTGAAATGTTTTGTTAATTTCGTGTTTAGTATAGCCGCTTGATTCGCCGGTACACTTTGGGCCTAAATTGTATGTATTTATTTCACAAGTTTTCATTCTTTATCTTCGCTGATTCTGTTCTGTTTTCGGGGAATATTTAAGTCCGATCTTTCTTCTTTATTTCTTTTGCTAACTATCCATGATATGACGGTGTTGGTTTTGGTTGGATCCCTCCCTGGCCTGGCCTCCCCTCCCAGCCTCCCCTCCAAAGGAAAAGTGCTGACTCAGTTGTTCCAATTCAATATGGCGGACAAAATGCAATTCTATCTACCAACTGGTAGTGGTGGGAATTGGGAATCTGGTTTGAAGGGAATAATTTCAACATTTCAGATTTTATCCAACACCAATCGAAGTAAAGCTACAGACATTGCACTCAGCCGTTAAAGCCACAACCAATTTTGATGATGTGTTTGCGTTGAATCTATATTTCTTTGGCGAGCTTTAGAAACGGAGGAGCATTTGAGATCATGTCAGGAATTGAAGTTGTCGTTTTGTGGAATATTTGAGCAAGAACCGAGCTCTTTATATCTTCTTAAATTGTCTTTGAAAAGTCTCAAGAGGTCTGAAAACTTAACACGAGTTTCCGTAATGGATCTGAGCGTTAAAGATTAACAAATCATCAAGACTTTTATCCAGTTTATTGTAGCCTTGGGTATTTGTCCCAGCCTTTTTGAAGGAGTAGGTGCAGCCTTTAAACAAAGAACTGGTTTTGGTGATGCTTTGTGTGCTGACGATGGCCATAAACATGCTGTGTTTCTTGTTGTGGAATGAAAATTTAGCTACAGAAGAATTCAGGGTGATTCATCGAGATTATGGTCTACCGTTGGGATACCATACTGCACTGGTATACGCAACAACGGTGAAGTCTTCATTCAAACTATCTCATGGATCAGTATCAATGAATAAACTATGTGCACAATTAGTAGAAAATCTTGAGTGGTTTTCAATGTGAGATATTTTGAAATATGAATTTGAAAACTTGCAGGGAAAGCCAGGGGATTTATCCAGACTTTTGATTGATAGTTCTCAGGCTGAAGGCACTAACGAGAACGCAGAGTTGACTGTCTGAATGTCTTTGTTGCTGTTTTACTGCTGTAAGGTTGATGAAGATGTTTGATGTTTATGAATGATTTCTGGTATTGTTTAATTCAGAGACTCAGCCATGCAGAGACTGGGGAGAGTATTCAGGGGTTAATTAGGTGGTTTTTAGTCGATATAAATTTTTTTTCGAACCATATCCGTTCCATATATGTTTAATAACAGTATTTTTTTTGTATGTAAAACAAAAATTTGGAAAGCGTGCCAAAAAAAAATTGGGGGAAAAACACCCAAAAGAGATCATCCAGCCTATGCCACAATCTAACCTGGTTATACAACCGGCTGCAATATTCAGCATAGTTACAACTACGAAAGGTGCAAGGCGGTT